ACTATGTAGCTAGAATCTTACATAATACTTAGTGAAGGTCATATTTTCTCTAGAGATCATTCATCTTATTTCACAATAGAAGTTCATTTAGAATAAAAAAATCACAAAGTCTTAGCCTTGTTAGATTCAAAAACCTCAATCCATTTTATAGACAAAGACTTTATCAAAAAATAAGAAATATTTTTAGTCAAGAAAACTAAACTTGTATATGTAAGAGTCATAGATGGTCATTTGTTATCTCTTAGAAATATTATTCATAAAACTATTCTTTTAGATGTAGCAATTAAAGATCATAGTAGTATAATAATATTTAATCTCATAAGATCTTTCTCCAATTTGATTATTTTAGGATTATCATGATTAGATTAGTGTAATCTTCAAATAAATTAGATTTTTTATAGCCTTAATTTTTTTTGTAGTTTGATCTAAAATTTTGTTAATCAAGTAGAAATACATAAATCTAATACATCCAAAACTTTACTAGTAGATATGAAAGCTTTCATATATGCAAAAAAAGAAGGGTCATCTTTTGTTACATATGCCACATCCATTTCTCATAGTGGAAAAATGTCAAGTAATATTTCTTGTATATATCAAGATTTTAAAGATATTTTTGAAAAGAAATATATAAATATTCTTTCAAAGCATCAATCTTATGATTATTCAATTGATTTATAAGAAAGAGTTCAACCATCATTTGGACTGATCTATAGCTTATCACAAAATGAATTGGTTGCATTGAAAGAATACATTGACAATAACTTTGCTAAAAACTTCATATGCCATTTAAAATCTCTAGCAGGAATTCCTATCTTATTTGTGAAAAAAAATGATGGATCCCTGTGGATGTGCATAGACTATTGAAGACTTAAGAAAATCATCATTAAGAATAAGTATCACTTACCTTTGATTTTAGGACTTCTTATCTAATTCAATTGAATAAAAATTTATACAAAAATAGGTCTATAAAAAACATGCAACTTAATCTATATCAAAGAAAGAAATGAATGAAAGAGCACTTTTCAAATTAGATATGAATATTTCAAATATAATGTCATGCCTTTTAGGCTCACAAATGCATCAATTACTTTTTAATATTTTATGAATGATATTTTTTGTAAATTTCTTGATAATTTTGTTGATTGTTATTTAGATGACATTCTAATCTACTTTAAGAATACATAAAAGCATAAAATTTATGTTTGTTATGTGTTACAAAAACTTAGAGATGCAGGATTATATGCCAAAATGAAAAAGTGTATATTCTACACTATTCATGTTGACTTTTTAGGATACATCATTTCCAAAAAAGAATTAATGATGGATCCAAAGAAAATTAAAACTATCTAAAGTTGGAAGATCTCAAAAATAGTGAAAGAAGTATAATTTCTTTTTAAGATTTGTTAATTATTACCAAATCTTCATCAAGAACTTTTTTTAAGTTACAACTCTTCTTATACCTTTGTCATGTAAAGATAAACTTAAATAGAACAAAGAAGGTGAAGTATCTTTTGAAGCCTTAAAGACAACATTTATTTCTGCACTAATTTTGTATTGCGTTGGTTTTTCAAGGCATTCTTCACAAAAAATAAAATAAAATAAAATAAAATAAATGTTGGAGATTTTACTATAAGTATTGTTTTATCATAAATAGAAGCGGATGACAAACTCTACTTGATAGCTTTTCATTTTAGGAAATTTTTAGCAACAAAAATTAACTATGAGATCTATGACAAAGAATTTCTTATAATTGTGGATTCATTTTAAGAATGTTGTCATTATCTAAAAAGTGCCTCAAGTCTAGTCATTGTGTATACGAATTATAAAAATCCCAAGTACTTTATAGCAATTGGAACATATATTTATTAAGATTTGATTTCAAAGATTACTTATCAACCTAAAAAATAATAAGATTTATTAGATATCTTTTTTAGATATTATTATCTTGTGTCAAAAGAAGAAAGTGTATTTTTTGATTAACAAAGAATAATTATCTTGAAGCTAGAGCATTTTTAACTTTGAGTAATAAAATCAACATTGATAGTTGATTCAATCTTTTTCAAAAAAGTTCAATGAAGTATGTCCTTTGATCCTCTTTTTTATGATTTTAAGAATAATTCTTTTGAGTCTCTACTTCTAGGTTCAAGTTCAAGAATAATCTATTCTATTTTAAAAAAATTCTATATTTCAAAAAAATTGAACGTCAACTTGAACTCAAAACTTAGAATTGTACTTTATTTTTTGAAATATATAATTGCCTATTTTATTTCCAAAAAATAAAGCACGTTTACATATTCTTCAAGATTATCATGACTTTTTGACAGTTGGATATTTTGGATACAACAAGTCTTTGGAACTAATATCTAAAGATTTTTAGTGGCATCTAGTATAGAAGATAGTTAAAGATTTTGTACAATCATGCGATATTTGTTCATGATTCAAAACTCCTTGTCATCATTCTTATGGACTTCTTCAGCCATTACCTATTCTAGAGTAACAATAGTCTTTTGTTTCTATGGATTTTAACTTATATCTTCGAATCTCAGGTTTGTATGATTCTATATTCGTAATAGTAGATCATTTTATTAAGATGGCATATTTGTACTATGTATAAAATCTATTACATGTGAAGAAAAAACTATGCTTTTACTTGACAACATCTATTCCTATCATGGATTGTCTATGGATATTATATTGTATAGAAGGACTCAATTTATATCAAGATTTTGGATGATTTTTTTTAAGATTTTAAAGGTAGATATAAAAGCTTTTTTTGGCTTTTCATCCTTGAATTGATGGACAAATAGAATAGATGAATTAAGTTCTAGAGCAATATTTGAGATGTATCATCAACTATCATTAAGATGATTGGACAATTCTTTTGCTATTGGCAAAATTTGCATATATTAATTTGGTACATTCTTCTACTTAAAAAACAGCTTTCTTTGCCAATTGCGGTTGTTATCTATAACTTAATACTTTTGACTTTTCAAAAGTTAATAATCATGCAGAAGAAGATTTGACAAGTTGTTTTTCAAAGCTACATGCAACAATGAAAGTGCAATTAAAGTAAGCTCAAATATGACAAAAGATCAATGTAGATGCCTATCATAAGAAACAACCACAATTCAATATGAATGACAAAATATGATTACTTTATTGCAAGATCAAGACTACTCGTCTTTATGACAAGTTGGACTATTGTAAGGTTGGATCTATTCTTATTTATAGACAAGTCAATCTTATTGCTTATTGATTATATCTATCAAAGTCTATGAAAATCCATTTCATATTCCAAGTATCTCTTCTTGAGCCATATAAGACAATGAATATCTCAAAAAGAAAAAAAGAAAAAATGCCACATTTTCCTATAAAAGTAGATAATAATCAAGAGTTTGAGATAGAAGAAGTTTTAGATTCAAGGTAATGCAAAAATAGATTGGAATATCTTATTTACTAGCACAGATATGATATTAGTGAATGTACATGGGAGTTAGCAAAAAATCTTGCAAATGCAACAAAGAAAGTTGAGGCTTTTCATCAACAACATCCATCCAAATCAAGATGAAGAAAAATAAGATTCATGAATAATGATGATTGCTCCTTCTGGAACTCGTTTCTAAAAAGGAAGATAATGTCACAAACATACGTATTTATATGAATAATAATCTATATTATTAGATAGAAGTAGGTAAAAATAGATTAATTTCATAATATCTTCTAAATAAGCTTCTTAGAAGCTTTGTAGATATAGTTTTGACTTTATACATGTTTGTAATTGATTGGTAGGTTAGAAACTTGGACAACAAGTTATCCATATACTACACATTTTGGTAGCTTGCAGAATAAGCTAATTACATGTCATACATATAGAAAACTTTTCTTCTAAATTAAGATATGTATCTCGCAAACTTAATACATGTTGAAGGTCCTATAGAACATCTTTACATAGATCTTAGTTAGATAGTATGTATGGAGGCAAGAATAAAGTTTTTTTCATTTTTATCAATATCTTTTTATTCTTTGGTCTTGTTTCAAGATTTTCTAGTCTTCTTGTTTTTGGCAATAGCCATTTTAGTTCAATATATTACCATCTTTGAGTAATTTCTTAATCTTTTCAAGTGGTACAAGAGTGTATTGAGGATTTCTTTTTTTGAGATTCATGTCCTTGACAATTAACAATAAAAAACTATTTTAAACACAAGTATTAAAAATAATCTTATTCTTTTGTAAAATTTATAAAGATGTAATTATATATCCAAATCAATATTAATCAAGTAATTGCTTTTTTTTATTCAAAATTATTTTAAAAAAGTAATAAATAAATTTAATATAAAAAGTAAACCTAAAATCTAAACTTGGTGGTAAAAAGATGGACTTATATTCTATATCCTTGTAGAAACTAAATTTAAGAAACTTATAAGATAAAATCAAAATATACATAGAATTAGTCTTCTTTTATCTATTCTACTATTCAAAGTTATAATAAATACATACTAAAACAAATTATCTATACAATCACCGCAAACAAACAAACAAATCAAAAACAAAAACAAACAAAACGTAACATAATATAAAACAAAAGCAACAACTAAAATATTGTAATCAACAACAAAGCATAACCATGACACATGCAACAAAATTCTACCATTACCATGAAAGATACCAAAATCAAGACTAAAATGAAATACAAAACAAAAACAAAACCAAGAAGAATGTAAAAAAACAAAAAAACAAAAAAACAAAACAAAAAAAATTGGAAAAAAGAAAACCAGAAGAATAAGAGGGTGGAGAGAAGAGAGGCATGAGGAGGAGAAAGCAACAACAAGGGTGTGTAAGAAAGAGTAGACAAAAGGGACCCCATGAGAGAGCAAAACCCTAATAGTTGCACATATAGTGAGAAACCAAAGTAATAAAAGCAAACGGAGAAGGAAGGGAATCTCTTACAACACAAAGAAAGGAGTGAGAGAGTGAGAGGGAGAGTTACTCTGAAGAAAATTCCAGCAGGAGAGCAAGCAAAGCTGTCGCATCATCGATCTATCAATCTATCTAACTATCTATTATATCTGTTCTATTCTATTCTATTCATTCTCCCTTGCGCCATCGCCGCCCTTTTGTTTCTCCTTTCTCCCCCCCACCCACCTTCACACTTCTTCTTCCTGCGAGGGCCTGGAGTCCCCCCCCCCCACGTCGTCGCTGCTGCATCATCAGGTACGCAGCATCTAATCTACAGCGCTACAAGCAGTTGGGTTTGTACAGAGAGACACTGAGGCTGCTGCTGCTTGTGGTGCGCGGAATTCGTATTTTTGGGTGTTGATCAGGTGGTGGTGGTGCCAGCTAGGGTTTTTTTTTTTTTTTTTTTTTTTTTTTTTTCGTTTTTTTTTTCCCTGGGATAGAGAGGGTGGTCGTGAGATGAGGGAGAGCCTCGGAGGCGTGGTTGCGTGCTAGCCGGTTTGGTGTGGATATTTCTGAGCTGATTTTGGTCCGTGGTTGTGTAGGGTTGTGCGTTAGGGTTCAGTTTGGATCTGTATTTTCAGGGGTTGGAGTGTATGCGTTTTTTTTTAAAAAAAATATTTTAGTGTTCGGGGTTGAGATATTCTTGGCTTTTACACTGCATCTCTCGTGGTCTACACGGGGATGAAGGTCGTATGGAATTTCTACTCTGTCGCGTCTGGTTTTTGGTTTTTGGTTTTTCTCTTACTTGATCGGGTTCTCGGGGTCGCCTGTTTACAGCTCATGTGAAGCTGCTGACAACGTCAAGAGGATTTCGGGTTTTGGGCTGTTAGTATTTCGCGGTTTGGAATGGAAAGGTCGATTGGCTCAGTTTTAACCTTTGACTGGTGGTGTTGTCGACTTTGATTTTGGTGGAGGCGGGGGTTGGCCATTGATGCTTTAGCGGTACCTCTTGTCGAACTTTCTGGTTTGAGGCTAGAAATGAGAACCATGAGAATTCATATGTTTTAAGCATTGTATGCGAGGACGTACAGCTGGTTACGTATGAACTTCGTTTCATAGACTGCTAATTGCTTGTCCGTCTTTGATTGAAGATAATAACAACGACTGGTGGAAGAATAGAGAAGTACGTTGGCACTCATGTCACCCCAGCAACCGCAATTACGAGTCCCTGAGGTGGCCGAGAACACTGACGGATGGGGTCCTCCAGATGAAAATGCCACTCTGCCGTCTCAGCTTCAGAATGTCCCCTATGCTCCTTTCATTAAGAGCACACATCTAGGCCGTGCTTCTGACTGGACTCGCAACCCTCCCAGCCGCTATGGTCAAAACCGTGGCGGCGATGGAGTATTTGATTACTTTTTTGATGAGCAAGACGAAGAATCGTTTCGACTTGTAGATGGGAAACCTCCTGCACGCCCTAAGTTTGGCCCCAGGTGGCGTTTTCAGCAGAAGCCACAGTTGCCTCAGCGAAAGGATGAAGAAGATGCTCGAAGGAAAGAGGCAGAGAAAGAGAGGTTGCGGCGAGACAAGTTTTATAATCAGAACAGGAATTTGCAAAGGAGAGAGACTGCTACCTTCAAAAGTTCTGTTGATATTCAGCCTGACTGGACGATGCTCGAGCAAATCCCATTCTCTACTTTTGCCAAACTCAATTACTTTGTTGGAGAGGCGGAGGATCTCGCACTCTGTGGAGCTCTTGAGTACTATGACAAGACGTATGACCGTGTGACACCTAAGAGTGAGAGACGACTTGAAAGGTTCAAAAACAGAAACTTCTTTAAGGTATGCTAGCTGTTAATAACAAGATTTTTCTGAACCCTGCTTTTGCGTGTTACGTTGTCTCCATACACTTTGTTGCGGAGTCCTTGATTGTACTGTGGTTTTATCTCTTATTTTATTTTTGGGGGGTAGACTAAATCATGTTACGCCGCAGAGTATTCACAATCAGTGCACTGGAATTAGTTCTGCTCTATCCGGGGCGATGTACGCCCGGTCCCTCTTACGCGTGTTGCATCTGTTGGATCCAGGTCACTACTACAGATGATCCCGTCATCCGTCGCCTAGCAAGTGAGGACATGGCCACCGTGTTCGCTACAGATTCAATTCTGTCAACACTTATGTGTTCTCCTCGATCTGTCTACTCTTGGGATATTGTGGTGCAAAGAGTGGGCAATAAGCTTTTCTTCGATAAGCGAGACGGTTCACAGTTGGACCTGCTGACTGTGAGTGAGACGGCTCAAGAATCCCTTCCCGAAGGCAAGGATGATATCAACTCCGCTCAAAACCTAAGCATGGAGGCTACTGTTATTAATCAGAACTTCTCTCAACAGGTACAGTGATCTTGCATTCATGATCTGTATTTTCATCTCAGCATATACGTCTAAAGTGTTACACATGTTTTGTAGTATATGAATAACAAGCACTAAGTAGTAGGCAGTGCTAACGACGCCGGTGGGACTCCTTGTGTTCTGATCTGATAGTTTTGGTAGTTAATACTTGCAGATTGCTCATCGCTGACTGACACATCAACTTTAAATATCATTATTCCTTGTGTACAGATCCTTATCAAGGATGGAAACAAGTTCAGTTTCCAAGACCCGAACCCCTTCGCTTCCGAAGGAGAGGAGGTCGCCTCTGTAGCATATAGGTACCGTCGATGGAAACTGGATGAGAACATTTCCTTGGTTGCAAGATGTGAGGTCCAGAGCCTAATGGAAGTGAAGGGCCAGAGAACACTTATGACCCTAAATGCTTTGAACGAGTTTGACTCTAAGTTCACCGGCGTCGACTGGCGTCAAAAGCTGGAGACTCAAAAGGGAGCAGTTCTTGCAACTGAGCTCAAGAACAACAACAACAAGGTCGCGAAGTGGACTGCACAAGCGTTACTCGCAAGCGCAGAAGTCATGAAAATTGGTTACGTTTCTCGTCTCCATCCCAGAGACCCTTACAACCACGTCATTTTGGGCGTGCAAGGATACAAGCCCAAGGAGTTCGCTGGGCAGATCAATTTGAACTTGAACAATATGTGGGGTATTGTCAAGTCAGTTATTGACATTTGCATGAAGCTGGAGGAAGGAAAATATGTATTGGTGAAGGATCCCATCAAGCCTCAAGTGCGCTTGTATGAAGTTCCGGCGGATTCTTTCGAGAATGATTACTTGGAAGAGCCTATCCCAGAAGAGGAGCAAATGCAACCCGTGCCTGTTGAAGAACCCATCGTGCAGCCGGTTACTGAAGATAAAGAAGCCGAAGTGGATGCAGATGTGTAAGTAATGCCACGAGGTGTATTCTTCTTGCGGTATTATTAACCGACCTCAGTTCTCATTGTATACTGTATGGGATGGTCCCATATCTTCTCTTGCGCAACAATATCTTTTGAAATGTTTGAGAATCTGTGAATGATTTTCAGACTGCGTTGAGATGAATTTGAGCATGTTGGCGTGGTGTAAGAAGGAGCGTTACTGCACAAATCGCTACATTGATGGGCTCTTATTTCGTCTAGTGCTGCTTGCGGGGAATATTGCAGTTAATTGGTGTATTCAAATGATGTTGAAAGGGATCCAGGTAGAGTGTTAACATTCGTGAGACTTCCGAAGAGGCTGACATAGAAGGTAAAATGCCAATGTATCTTATTGTAGTTGGATGTCTTGATAATGCAATGACATTTGTCGGGTCCAGTTTGAATGGTCGAGATGTTTGGCAACATATTCAGACTTGTTAATGTATCCAATGAAATGGACATTCCTTTTTTGAGGTTGGGAGTGAAAATATCTGAATGGCGGTAGTGGATATTCAACTATTGCGAAACGTGTTGCACTTGTGTGACGGAAGTGATAGTTAATGAGATATAGAGGTGGAATAATAGCTCAATTGATGAGGAGAGTTTCGAGCGAATAATCGTTGGTATGTTTTGGAGTTAGTGTTTTGTGACTAATCCAGCTCAGCACCGCAACTGACATGACATATTTTCCCTATGAAATATGTCCACACTGTTGCAAGTTTACTGTTACACCGGATTGGAAATATGCGCTTTCTGAAATAACTGACAACAGTTCAGAGGGTGAGTGGGATGCCAACCGGATGTTTACATGGTGACATCCTCGCATTGCCCCTTTCATGTTCATGCGAGCTAGGGAGTTTCATGTGTTGACAGAGAATTTAATGGTTCACATCTACAAGCGACATTTACGTTCAAGGCTAAGTACGACCACTGTTATAGACACGTAGTAACAGTGCGAGGTAAGATTTGCATTAGCTTTGTGCCAAGGCCTCACCTGCAATATACGAACCCCGCAACAAAGAGTAATTACTAATGTTCCATTTACTTAGAACTGCTTCGGATTGCTCAACATTCTTCACAGGATTAACAGGATGAAATCCAACTACGGCACTTACAAAATATACAACTAAGAAATCCTCACTCAGAAATTTTCTGCAACCTGACACCTCTAAGCAGCAGGACAGGCAGAGGGGGAATGAACCATATGGAAACACCAACGCTTCCCGAGCACTAAATCCGTGTGTAATCCGAGGGGGGCACGCCATCCAACGGAAGAATTCCATTAAGTGTTTTCATTGTTGATCTGCACAACCGAACAGTATCAGCACACAAGCTCCTAGCCACCAGTACAGAATCGGAAGTAACATTCAACAGCAATCGGAGCAATATAGGCTGTCGATGAAAAGGACTTCAAAGAAAATCAAACCCCTGAAACATTCTCTTACGTGAAGATAGGCTCATTAGTGTGAAGGGCTTGGCAACCCTTCATTCTTTTCGGGAATTGAGTTAAGTGTTTAAAACTAGAGGATCTGTTAGTGGGTTTTTTCAAGAATAAAATAAATTTAGAAAAAACTAATCTAAAGCACAGCAGAGGTGAGAAAAAACTCCAAAAAAACAATTGGGTCACTTACTCAAGGTTCGAGGGCATGTTAGATTGTCAATGGACTAGGTCTTCATCAACTGCAGCTCCCCAAGATCACATCCCTTGTCAACATATAAATGGGATTTTAAAAATTGATGAAGTTCACTTGCAATTCCCGTGTCAACCTCCACGCAAATTCAACCTCCACGATGTAGCAACCACTAGAAACGTTTGCAGCAGCAGGCGATGTACAGAGTCCCTGACTCTTGATGAGACGAATCTTCTTTGCGTTATTTTGGATGTTGATGCTAACCATTGCTGCGAGCCTCCCCCAGATTCTGACAGCCTAATTTCTAACCTCGACTACAAAGATATCCACAATCGTGTGCCGTGACGCAGCATCTCTAGCTTCTGCAGAAGTAAATTGAGAGTCAAACCCGGTTCACGCTTGTGCTTGTACTAATCGAAAGGAAAGAAGTGCCAAGAAAAGAAACAGGAAGAATCAAAATCCCAGAAAGCATGACGCGATCAGAACTGGTCATCGATGGGCCACCGAATACTCTAGGGCTAACATTCACCTCTAATCTAGCGAAACACAAGATTCAACCCCCGAGGCCGAAGTAGATTGCTCACCTAACAGTGAGGACTGGGACTACTTTGACACTGATCGTTACAGTTAAAAATTGGCTTGTTAAATCTAACAGTGTTTAGACTGGTCACTTACTTGAGCTTCGAATCAAGGGTTTTAGAGATAGTCTTGTAATAGTGACGATGCGGCTCATGGTCCCTGATCTTCCGAGGTTTGTGCGTGTTGTATGCAGGCATTGCAGGGATCTGCTCAGTTTTTGCACATTCTTGCAGTAGCTTCAGGGACGCATAACTGCCGATTGAATACTTCTGGTTCGCACCGCTCGAGTCGAGTGAGTGGAGCGGTGCAAGGTTTCTCTTGGCGGAAGTCTTGGAATGGTCCACTGGGGCTGAATTTTCCCTTGAGAGTTTGCTGATCACAGGGACGGATGACAGCCTTGGAGAAACCGCCTTCGAATCTACCTTGGAAGGTGCCTTCGACAGCGGAGCAGATGCTCTCCGCAACTTGCTGAAGAGCCCCGTCAGCTTGTTCGTTTCGGATCCAGATTGCTTCAAGGCCTGGAATAGCAACAAAATATGAATTCCGTGTTTAGAAAAGGCTTCGATGGCCTCAAATGATTGTCACTACACATTCTTCCATCCTGGGAGTTCCAAGTCCAGCATGAAGTAACGACAAATTGAGGTTGTTTGAAACCAGATATGCACCAGAGGTACAAGAGCTTACCTCGCCGTGGTCATCTTGTTTGCGACCGTCATTGCTTCGCGGCAAGAAAGGTATGGAGAACCCACGTGAGTCTTCCTTGGTGTCCTCGTTTGATGCCATAAAGGACTTGGAGATCAACTGCGACACGGTGTCATACTCGCCCCCGCCGCAGTATTGGGGATCCCAGGACCGGGCCACCCGCAGGTCCCGCGGGCGACTCACCCCTGCGGTGCCGTTCTGGACTTCTGCAGATGTCATGGACGCTCTCATTGCGGTTTTCGCGACACCGCCTTGGCCCTTCTTCACTTTGATTCCGTGCAACGTAGGTCGCACAAATTTCTTCGGCATGGGCGGTGGCGGGTTTCCGACCTTCGCCGAGCTATCCCAGCCTGGTTTGTTCTTAGCAAGGTTTCTGCTGTTGTTTTGCTGCGACCGATACGGCGACTTGCTTTTCGATCGTGAAGAGTTGGGCGAATCAAGCTCTACTTCCTGACCAGTGACGAAGGACACGCGACGTGAGCTGTCTCGGCTTGACCCTGTCGACCGGCGCGGCAGGCTGCCAACGTCGTGATCATCCAGGGTGATGTCGAAGGCAATACCGCCTTTGGGCACATGGGGCAATCGAGGACTGACGCTGACGCTCTCCTGATGATGGCTGATGTCGAAGGCAATCCCGCCCTTCTGCGCAAGTTGGGTGGGTGGGGGAGCTATTCCGTTCACTAGACTGATGTTGTGCCGGTGATGAGATGATACCTTTCGCTCCTTCACTTCAGGCTCTGTTATATCGTCAGTGACTTCGTCTTCGAGCTCATCTTCAGGATCCTCGTTGGATGTCCCACTCTCATGTCCGTTCTCATGCTGGTCTTCTTCCTGGGTTAGCTCAGGCTGAGCCAAGGGGAGTTGCTTAGTGCGGGTGACTCCGACAATGGAGGACGGCAGAGTGACATCCCTATTCGCCTCGACGAGAGGGACATAGCCAAGGGGACGTGTGCGGACACTGCCTTTCATTGTGGGTATCCCATTGGAAGCAGTCGAGTCTTTTTCCTTCACCGGCTCCCAGGCCCTGTATGACGTCCCATTCGAGACTACGGTATGGCATGTTGGTTCTTCCGGCTGCCATTCTCTGAGGGACATGCACTCGTTCCTGTCCTCGTCGTCATCGTGTCCTGGTAGTGGGAGCTTGAACAATGCTGCCTGGCCTAACGGCAGGGGTTGCATCCCCTTCAGCGGCACCACATTAAGCTCTCCCGACTTCCGCGGCGTAGTTTGAGCCTCCGTCTCTTTCGCCATGACTGTGACTCAGAAGACAACCGAGATTTACAATCTAAGCCTTAAAATTGTTTCTTCAAGCGTACAACCTTCAGCCTGGCCTCAAACTTTATTTATATATTACTAGGATTCTTATTCAATCAATCATTAAATGTTCCGCAATTATTTCGGTGCAACTAACCATTTTTGACGTCAGTATTGGCACAAATCATGGTGTACATTTAAGGAAAACCATCTCTTTCACAAGAAACAACCTCTCGTGTATGTAAATCTCACGTCAAACGTATGATTTTGAATAGATTTACTTGTCTCGCATGAGACAGGAAACTACTCGCTCCAGCTGAAGTGACAATTCACTAGAAAAGCATTTTTTTCTCTACAATACCAGGGCTATAACGACACAAATAGCTACAAAGAGAGCATTCGCAAACTGGAACATACAGGGCTCGAGCTCTTGAACCACAAAGAGAGACCGGGAGGCCCCGGAGGAGAAGTGAAGACACTTGAAAACCAAGGAGACCATTCAAGTTCTCAGTGAACATCTATTTCTCGGGAGATTTCTTTGAGCAATCGCAATCTCACATACCAATCCCGAAAGTGAATGTCTTTGAGGGGCATATGGAAGAATATATGCCTAAGCGGTTCTAAGTCTTCAGCGATGAATTCATTCCAGTTAGGATTTACGGCACAGAATGGTCCATCACTCTCAGAAGGTCACTGGTGAGCTCATCAAAAACCAAAAAAAATAATGCGCTGTAGAAGCTGCAGCATCTAACACGAAGATGTACGAAAATGAAAGTTTAGTGGCTTTTGCGCGCTGCGAATTGAATCTAGGCTGAAAGCAGAAATATGCTGTTTCGATCTCGAAAAAATTCAGGAGAGTGGGCCACAATCGGTCCAGGCCAGAGAAAAGATCTATCGTCCTAGTTTCTTCCTCAAAACCCTCTGCTAAAGCGCTCAGTCGTCGAGAAACAAGAAGCACAACAAATAAAAATAAAAATAAAAAGTTACCTTCCTATCGTCTGATTCGAAGTCCTGGAGAAATATAGCACTAATCATCAGCCAGACGCACGACGCCCAGGGTTCAGATCACGCCCCTTACTGTGCTCTCCACACCCATCGAATACCACAATCGAAAGCCGCGTCTTAGCTAAGTACAACATTGCAAACTAAACAAAAAATAACATCGTACTATGCACATCCCTGCAACAAAGAGCCTGGAATACGATCGAGAGTACGTACCTCCCTACCAAACGATTGCAGATTGACGTTGCGTCTGCAGGATTCGTTGCGGTTGTCCTCTACATACCAGATCGGACAGGTACACAATGTCAAGCGAACCAAACAAACAACACAAGAAAGTCCACTTGAACGCCTACTGATCAAGCTGTCGGCTCGTCTCGGAAGGAGCCGCCAGTTGACATGAATGAAACCCACGGCAATGAGACGAAACTGATGATCTCAACGAAGCAGCAAAAAGGAGGCCTGCAGCGCGGCAGAAAGGCGGGCGGAAAGACAAAGCAGGCATAAAGCGGAGTAGGGCAGATAAGCAGCGCCTGATGGAGAGAGAAGGCAGCGCGGAGAAGCTCCTGGTCCTACTCCTGAGCCTTGCCTTCCGGAGCTTGGACCATTCACGGTACTAATGCCTGGCCATATTTAGCCCGTGGTTTCACTATTTCTTCTCATTCCTCTTATTCTCCCCCCCTGCTCGATCGCCTGCACCGGCACGTCTGCCTCATCCGTCGCCATTATGTCACCACCTGAGCCCCACAGCACCTGCTGCAATCTTACTCAGATCGTCTTTCACTCCTGCAGTCGTGATCCAAGTTAAAACCGGCAATAACAACAACAGGGTTCAGTTTTCTAGATCAGTTCTACCATGATTGCATGAGTTCTGCTGCCAGTTTCAGAGCTGAGGTGGTTTATATATATATATATATATATATGTATGCATATAATGTTTATATTGCTAAACTGTCGATAACTCCTCCACACATCCGCGGAGCCTACGGATGTGTGGGGGAGCAGCGCCCCAGTGCGTGAAAAACTGTCTCCGTATCTTGTCCACGTAAGTCGTGATGTGGTGCGAGTTTTAGAAAACTAGATCAGGATGGGGATTGATTCCGATGATGAACTCGATCTATGACTCGAACCCAACGGCGCTTTCTAGTCTTGAGCAAACTAGATTCTGATCCATTCATCGCACTTGTTCCTCTGCTTTTAGACCCTCTGACTGCCAAACTACGCAGTTCATGTTTTCTATACAAACATCGCCTGTTACTGGAAGTTCATGGCAACTTACTTATCCAGGAACTTTGCTGTTAATCGCATTCTAGATGCTCGTCTGTGGATATATATATATATATATATATTAGGCGATTAGCATGGGAATTACTTTTCATGTATTGTTTGATGTGAAAATAGTAGTAATAAAAAATGAAGAAAAACAATGATTGGTAATCCATTAGCAAACATTGCCATTTTCTACATATTTTTTTCCTGTACGATGCTTTCGGTGTATTGAATAGGAAACAGCCACTTGTTGCTTGCATAGTATCAAAGTCAAGCTCATGAAATGCCATATTGGGGAAGACCATTGTTGTACACAATGTGGATACTTTAACCTAAAAGTGCTTACAATTATCAATTTAACTATCTTCCAAGTCACCTTTGAAAATATAATGTATAAAACTATTGAAAAAAGCATACGTATCCATTAATGAAAATAAAAATAAAAATAACTGCAAAATGCCTTGTGAATAGCATCTAAATGTTCAAAACTTAAAATTATTCACAGTTCTTTTCATCGGCTTTCAATGAATTGTCACCTGCACAATATCTACTTCTCATTCACTTATTCATGTATGTGTGAGTGTGTGTGTGAGTATATATATATATATATATATATATACACGAAAATTAATGAACAAATAATTGAAATATGAAACAATGACACAAGTGTGCCAGAAAGGTCTTGTACATGCTTTTGCTACATACTTGTATGATGTAGAATAGGCTACACACAAGTCACATAAAATTTGAAAACCTAAACCTAAATATTATGATAGCCCCTTCTAGCAAGATTCTCATTACGATTTAGAAACTCTAAGAAATTTAATCCATTATGGATTTAGTAACATGCATTTGTTTATTTTCTAGAAGCATCATTATTTCTTATTTATTGTTTTATTTCGTTTCATACTATTACTACCACCAACTATTTATGTCATAACAACTCTTTTTTATAAATTTTTATGGGATTTTATTTACATATATTTTTTACTTTTAAAGGTATCCATTTTTAATAAATTAATAAAATAACATGGGTGTGAATGCAAATATAAAGATCCATGTGGTTAGATTTACCAGAAGCATCTGATTTTTAAAAAAATAGCTGGATTCATATTTATTATTGTTTGTTTATTTTATTTTTGCATTATCTATGTGTGAATGAAACCATGTTTTATATTCAACAAATTGTAATTTCAAAAAATATCTACTCCCTATCTACTTTCAAATATGAAGCCTATAGTCTATGATACCAACTCAAAATCAATCATGATTGAATTACTTGATTATATTTACATTCAAATCTCAATTATGAGGAAACCATGAGTGAAAAAAATAAAAATAAAAAATAAAAAATAAATCATTGATTTATGAAAGACCAATTATCAACAATAAATTTTGTCTCGTTTTTAATTTTTAATTTTTCATATTTATTTCAAACTCTTGATTCAAATACAAGATATATTCAAAATTTTGTGGCAAACAACACTACATCCAAAATACAAAAAAATAAGCCAACTTTTATAGTGTGTAGATTGAACAATTTAACACTCATTTCAACATTACACACAGTATGTTTTTATCCCATTAATCTCCATCAACAAACACACAATCAATGAATGCAAGCTCAATAATCATATAGCATATATAAAAGGTGTAAAAAATAAAAAGAAAAAAACCACGTTGGTGGATAATTACATTATTCATAACAAGTGGGCTATTGATGGTAGAGACTTTAATGTGGTTGAAATCATTATTGTATATGCATCTCACATGGATACATTACACATAACTACGATTTTAGAAAACGCCTTTAATAAATCAATCAATCAATCAATCGCAACACCCTTTAATACATCCTCATATATATTTATATATGTATCTCGTGGATGAAGAGGACACATGAATGAATGTAATCACAATGGAATACAATTTCATCCACTGACTTCATTCATCCACACGGGATGCCAAGAAGGGAGCCATTAGCCGCGCAGCGAGGCTCCGACGGTACCTGCGACGATTACTCCAATGCACACACTTCATAATTCCTGGTATATGTATACTGGATGAATAAATCCCAACATCCATCCATGGTCTAATATCCAAATATCATTCACTCATCCAGTGTTGGCTCCTTATATGGATAAGCAGAGTCCGGCTCCATAATGGGTCAGTGGTCGTCCACCAATGCGTGTTTAAGAATCCTGGCATTAATTAGTGGGTGGGACTTAGTCCTCGCTTCACTAAGTCAGTATTATTGGTTCCTAATCTGGACGTCAGAAAGAGTCTTAAGGGTGAAAGGGCGTTGGCATTCCCTAACCCCTTTTTCGGGTTTTGGAACTTGTCTTCAGTGCTGGTTCTGTTGATAGGAGGATTTTCTCCATTTCTTCCACATGAAGTTTTTTCCATTATTGTTGTTGTGGGTTTGACTGACATCCGGTGGGTGTCTTTGATCTTAGAAATAGGAAGTGGGTTCAGTTCCGAGAGAGGAGCTTTAGTTTGTCCACCACTCACCACCAATGCAATGCACCCGGTTCAATTATTTTGACTTGAGTGAGTGAGAAAAAGGCGCGTTGCTAGTTACTGTGCAGGTCCATTGCTTCTGCTCTTTTTTCACACCCCAATAATCTGGAATGCTATGGAAGAGATATGTCCAGAGCAGTGGTGGTGCTTTTTTTGTTTTTGTTTTTTATTTTTTTTTTCCCCCTTGCCGCAGGGACACAGGCATTCTAAGCATAAGGCTTGTTTGCTGAATTTTTTTATTTTTTCTTTTTTCTTTTTTCTGAAAGCTATCCTTCATCCATCACATCTCTCTCTCTGCATAACATTTGCGGTTGTTGCCCATGCTAGCCATGATTGTACCACCATGTCTGTCGAAGTGAATGAATGCCAGGAATAAGAAGACATTCTGTTTGTGATGTGGAGGCGATGAAGAGCCAACTCGAATGTGTTAACAATAATTTGATTTGCCGTTGACACGAATTTGGCTCCTTTACAACTGTAAGCAATACTGAGAATAGAGTGGGAAAGAAGGTCAAAAACAGAAAGTGCGAGGCTGCTAAAGTGGAGCCCCCAAATCATGTCTTCCTCATGTTAGTTGGGTCCATCTGGGAGCAAGTGCTGCCAGAGCCTGTAACATTCTCTCTACAGCTATGAAAGTTTGTTTTGTCCAATGACAAGAAGATTTTGCACCCAAGTCCCCCCTCCTCCTAACGCTTTCGTACTGCTGCCAAGCGATCTTGTACATGAGAAAAGGAAGCTGCTTGTGATGTCTGAACAATCAACAAAATATTTCACCTCAGGTTCCAGGTCCACCATAGTCCTGGATATGAACAACTTGATAAAGAAAGCTTCGTCACGGCCATATGCCGAATTCAAAATCTCCATCGCACAGCTATGGTTTTCGTGTTGTGGTCCGACTGTCAGCCACTGTATTCTGGCCCCCTCTTGGATTGAAACCCCTGAAAACGTCTGGTTGTGCTTCTGGTGAGTAAACCAGTTCTGAACCCGTCTCGAACCGGGCTGAAATGTGTGCTTGAACAGCAACATGAATTTCAATCGTAGTCAACATGAAATCTATGCAACATTATTTACATGTGTACATATCGAATTACCAGTCAGGATGGTCTCTTGACGCATCAAAATCTGTTGATATTATGAGTTATAACAAACTTTGAGTTGTTGAAAATCACGGATACATTTGAACTGCATGCGTCCACATTTGGCCAAATAGGCCCGGCGTGATACACAAGGGCCAAATACTTCATTGATGATAATTTGCTTTCTCCATCAAAAGTTGTGAGATCAGTCAGCCTTTGTTCATGTTGCAATTGTGTTCACGACATGACTACCAGCACACAAGTCCAATTTGGTGGGATCTTACAGCTTCACCCAACTCGGTACAACGAATTGAAATAGGCGTCACAATAACCAACTCAAGATCTGCGCTCATTGTACCCCTTGTTTGGCAACTCATTCAAATATGCGCGGCTCAATTCTCTACCGCAACTGAATGATTGAATGACCCAGTTATTCAACATTTACATATTATTCCTCAATCGCCATCACCAAGTTATGTGCATGAACTACCCTGCTCTCCGCAAAATAGGATTTACATGATACGCACTGACATTAATGAGGCTTGGCGGAAAATAGATGAAAGTACCCCATCGCCACACTCGCATGCAGAAACATTCAAGCGTCAGTTGCCATCCGCCAAACAACCGAGGCCTACCGCTACCGCAGCAGATCCTGAAAGCAAGAGAACAGCCTACCAGTTTGCAGGAGCTCAGAAGAACAAGTAGATAGACGCCTTACTACCCGTTCACTTATACAAACAGAAAGCAAAATCAGAAGTTATCCATCAAGTTAGGCTCGCAGAGCTTCCACTGTTATACAAAAGACTTCCGGTTAGAGCGAGTTGTTTGCAAAAAGTTCCAGCATTTCCAAGAGCTTCCGCAAATTCCTTAATTTTCTAAAAATATCTTGTTAAGAATCTCCTTTATTGTTAAATCGTTGATCTACAGTTTACTAGATCTCTGGTGAGATCTGATGTTCAAGACTTTTCTTTCTCTTTCAGTGATGAGCAGCCGATTGATTTTCCAAAAAGAGCAACAAGTGAATCGAAGTTAGAAAGGTTACCGACAACATTTCCGTGAAAACAACCACGTTTCATTATTCGTAAGCTGACAGGATTGGCGACCACGTCAGGTCATGCTCACAAAAATGGGCACAGAAACTGTAGTCCATACTCGGAAGCAATTCCGAGTGATTGGAATTGGACGAAAATAGTTGCACTCGTCAACAGGAGCTCAGTCACAATGTTAGGTTCCCACAAACAAGCAATCAAACAATGTAATGTTTAGCCTTTTATCTGTTCACAAGTGTGCACAGTGTTGCGTAGAACGTTAGCATTTACGGTTAATTTTGAAAACAAATCCATCGCAAATTATCGTAGTCACCAAACAGCGAAAGATCTGATGGTCGAAGCCATCAGGGAACGCACACCAACCTAATGTTCTGAAAACAACTCCGCTTCGACTAACGTCCGATCCTCTCGCCATTGCTTTCATGGTAGTCTCACAGCGAATCCAGAGGCGGACAATCAAAGTTGTGCAATCAAAGTTGTGCAAGGGTGTCATTGTGCACAGATATGGGGTAACTGTTGGTTTACACAGGGGTTAGGACCCAATATCAGCGTTGATAACCATCGGGTATGGTGATCGTGCAGAAGGATTTCTGATTTAAATTTATGAATCAAAACATTGAACCCCCGTTGTATGACCATTGATGTCTGGTGTGGCGGAACCGTGTACCTACAAGAATACCGCTAATTGTTGCAATAACGGACAAGAATATCCCTAGTCTCCAAGAGACTAACACGATGTATAACAAGGGGAACGGCCGAGCAACAGATTTATAATTCCTTGAGTACATAAATGTGTGCAAGCCCCATCATCAATCTTACAAACACAACGAAACAACCACCCAACGTTATGCCAGAATTGATCTCATGCACCTCAATGTAGGAAAATAAACAATTCAGAGCAAAGATCAAGGCTGCTGCAAATGTGAATGTATTGAACTTCCTTCAAAGAAGAAAACAATAACAACATCCTCGTATTCATAACCGTCGTTGAATGTTTTAGAGTGTCTGACAACTTGATTCTACTAAGACGTATTGCTGAAATCCATTGAATCCTTCTTATCCAAGAGCTCCTGCATGAATGTGAACTGGTGTCAGATAAATATCCCAGTAGAGAGCATCCGATGATTAACATCGAAAGTTAAACACATACGGTTTTTAAACCCCAATACTTCAATCTGTTCATCAACTGAACTCATCTAAATAACCAACTCTCATGTTGGAGATACGAGGTGCTTTATGAGTGCATCTCCCATACACACGAGAGAAAACCGAAGAAATGGAATATTGCAAACAGGAATATACACAGAAAATTCGAGATCAATTTAACTCCACAAAAACCTTACCATTCTAGATGCGGCTGGGGTACATGAACACTCTCACTCTGGCACCCTAAATTCAAGACCAAGCACCCCATCAGATAAGAAAACGGTGAACATTCTAACTGCACTTAATCAGTAGCTGCATTGCAGATGTTCGTGATGATCACATGCCACATTGTATGGCACAAGGAGAGAAGTAATTAGAGGCAACAAGTCCAAACATACCAACGATGAGGGAGGAAGATTGCTCCGGAATCTGGCGCGGACAACTCCACTGCTTCCGTGAGCGCGAGCAACCTTGCCCCAGATGACACGGAACTGAGATCCATTCTTCTTAGTCTTGGCCTTGTAGACGTAGGCCAACCTCTTTCCGAGGTACCAGTTAACCTCGTCAGAAGTATTCACACCTTCAATCTGAAGGAGTGAGGTGCTAGGGTACTGGTTAGACTTCGATCTGCACGAGCACAAACAAAGTTATAAGAATCGAGAATTCGTAAAAACCCTCAGAAACTCACTTCCTGTTGATGAGGAAAATAAGATTAACATAATGTTTCTGAAATAGTCACTCTGATAACAACCTTCACACAAATCTTCGAAATTTAAAAAAAATATTCAAACACAACACAATCGATCACTCCGCAGTGAACTCGAGGTCAAAACAAAAAGAATGCAGAATTTCTGCCAAGCTACTTCGGCAAAAACTTGGCGCCAATCTCAGCAACACAATCAGAAACCTGGGATGGTGTATTACCTCTTATACCCGAGGATGGTCCCCCGGACGTACAACCTGCCGCAGAAAAAAAATACATCATACCCCACCACTCAGGAAACACCAAGGAAGAAACTCGAAAATACCTACTCACACAAATCAAAACAAGCTCACAGTTCCTAACTCCACTGCATGGGAGCGTGATTCCAAATCCGCGCTACTAACCGTGAAATCGCACACCCCAATCCCGAAGAGGTGAAACGCTAGCACAGCTATACTAGCTCATCAGATGGAGGGCTCAAATCCCAGTTTGTTCGACTCTATTTTCGCCGAAAAGTTGTCGATGGATTTCCGAAAGAGGGAGAGAATACGGGATGAAGGCAAGCAAGCAACCAAGGAAGGAAGGAAGGAAGGAAGGAAGCATACCTGACGCGCTCTCCCTTGCGTTCCACCATGGCTGGAAAATCCGCAGCAGCTTGAGGCGCCGCAGAGGATTACGGGGGTTCACGGGGCGATGGCGAAGACTCCAAAGAGAAGGGGCAATTAGGGCTTCACGGGAACATAAGGGGCCAGGCCTCCACCCTCTCCCTCCCACCCACTCACCCGCTGGGGGTGCAGCCCGGCCCGTTCTGGCACCTCGCCCAAACTGGGCTCACACTTGGCACATCAAGCTCTCGTTTAGGTCTACGAAACCCTAATTAATTACCCCTCTCTAGTTGCTGATTCTTGTTACTATGTAAGAAAGAAAGATAAATAAATATATATATATATATATATATAAAGGGGAATGTTAAATAGACCCACTGAATTGACCCACCTATCCTAGCCATCGTGGAAATAAATAAATAAATAAAATAAAAAACCTCTTGACTCATTTCTTCACTACTAGATCCAAAACCAATGAAAACATAACTCATTCATCATGATTACCTTATTCTTCATCATGGGTAGGTTTATTTAATAAAAAGCTGGGTCTATTTAACATTCTCCTATATGTATTATGAACTTCTCTCAAAAACTTTAAAAGATGTGTAATCTTTTTATAGATATATTACAAACCTATGCAATAAAATAAAAATCAATGTGCATAGAATAAGTATTAAATGCATGTGTTATCAATCTTGGAATTTTTTTAATTTATGTGTGCATGCATGCTTGTTTATGTGTGTTATGAAACATAATTCTTTTGCAATTACATTGCATGCATGCATCTATACTAATATTTTGATTTTGTCTTTTAAAATTTGATGTTTAATTTGAATTCAATCATAAAAAATATATTTAAATTGATTTGATAAAATGAGATTGTATAATTTAAATGAGCCATTTAAATCTTCAATTTTTAGAATAAGAATAACAGTAGAAAATAACATTATATATGTATATATTCTTTTAGTTGTGTTATCTAGTTTGTATAATTTTTTTTTGATAACTATGAAAATATACGTATTTGAAAGAAAAATGTAATTTAAGTAAATATTATAATTGTTGTTGTTTTTTTTTATAAAGGCATTATTTCAAACAGTCTTGTATTAAATATTACAAAATTAAACATATAAATATAATATGTTTAATAATATCATAATAAATATCACATGAATCATAATAAATATCACATGAATCAAATTATGAGTTTAAATTTTACAAAACTTCAAATTAAAAATAAATGATTTTATAGTTGATAATGACTGTGTTGAATATGAATTGACTCATAATTTGATTCATGTGATATTTATTATGTAAATCTAGGTAATATAATAGCTATCAATTTTTTTAAGACAATCCATTATGTCTAAACAACTTACTAAAATTAAATTATAAGTCTATTTATTTGTTTGATTCTTATTAAGAAGTTTTTTTTTTTTTTTTTTTTTTTTTAATTCTTCCAAGAAAACTTAAATAGATAAATATTTTTGTTCTATAATATTTAAAATCACCAAAAGTAAATATGAAAAGAACACAAGAGAATTTTATAAGAATATAAATAAATGCGATATTTCTAACAATCGGGCATTGTTATATTTTCAACATTTTAAACATTTTTTTGATTAATTACTGATAGAATATGTATTATAAGAATTTATATTGATGTTTTGTATATTTTTTGCAAATATTTAAGTATATAAAAAAAATTCATAACAATATATTTTTCAAAAATAAATTGTTTAAAACATTGTTATATTTATTAGTACATTTAAATTCTACTAAATCTACAAATAAAACAAATAACATACTATTTTTAGATAAAATATATTTTATATTACTTATTTGAAATTGATAATAATTAACTATGTTAGTAGAATGATTCAAATCTAAAAATATTGAATATATTAAACTATAGATCTTTTATAACACATTTTGAACTACTTAAATATTACTAATACTAAAATAGAAGAAAAGAAGAATCAAGGTTTGTTCATATTAAACTATTGTTGATACTTGTAGCCAATCTTGGATTTATATTGCAAACTATTCATAAAATTACTATATGTAACAGATTATTTTTAAAAAACTTAGAATGTTTAAGATAAAAAAATAAATAAATAAGAGAATGTTAGATTGACCCACCCTTGATAAAGAATATGATAATCATGATGAATGTGGTTGGGTTTCATTGGTCGCAGACCCAATAATGAGGAAATAAATCCAGAAATCATTATTTTTTTCATGATGGCTAAAAATGGGCTAGGTCGATTTAGTAAAAACTTGGGTCTATTTAACATTCCCCAAAAAATATTGATCAAATATACAAATTATAAGTAAGAAATAAAGTTAATAATAAAAATTTCAATTTTAATTGAAGCTTTGCATGTTACCAAAAATAGTGGAGTAAAATATCAACAAAGTTAAGATTTATACAAGAAACCAGTTTGTGGTGATTCGATAGTTATTAACAAATAAAAAAATGTGAATTCAAGTAGAGACTCTGAAAGAAAGTTGTGTTGCTTTTACACTTTCTGTGGCAGAATATGTCCTTTAGAGGTTAATACTTTATCCTGTTTATCTTGTGCGATTTGAATGAATTTGCCAGTTACCTGTGTAAGTAGTTTCTTTCACCGAATCCTCTTTTAATTTTCATTTTTTTCATATACAAGAGGTCACGCTGATTGATCAATCTTAAGGCAGCTTTCATCCACATTAGGTGTGCTTGGATGGGGACACAACTCCAAGTCTGAGCAAGTAGACCGATCTAGTTGAGTCCTCAAGAATCAGTATCCAAACTAACGATTTCAAACAAGCAAAACATCAACAGCCAAGTAAGTAGTGTAAGCGAGCAATGAATTTGAATTACGTATAGAGGAAACCACAATAAAATAAAATAAAATAAAAAGACATCAATGGGTAAACTCATGAGTTAATTTAAAGTACACGGGAAAGATCTCAATCACAAACTACTGCCAGGTGAGGCCCCGCCCTTCGATAGTGAATCCTACGTATATACAACCAAATGTCCACAAGAATCCTAGGACAAGCTAATTGATGTTCCGCTGATGCAGACCTGAAGGGTACTCAGCAACTTCCAACTTCCAACTTCCAACTCCACCAGATCATCGTTCAGAACTGCACAATTATATACAACAGCTTCCGTAACTATAAGTAGCAGTAATTTACTGGGATTGAGGAGGTTGTCCTGGTTGTGGTGGTTGTCCTGGTCGAGGCATAGTCGGCGCCCTTGACGGCAATACAGGAGTTCGGGCAGCAGCTGCCGCAGCACGAGAAGCATTCTGAAGCTCAACTGAAGATGAGCTTACACCTATGCTTCCCACCGCTCCAAGACTTTGACCACTACTTAGTTGTGGGCTGGCTGGGTTTCCAACCAGTGAATTCAGGCTGCCACCCCCACTCAACTGTTGTTGTGGATTCATCTGCTGCTGTGTGTTCAGTTGTTGAGAATTGAGCTGCTGCGAGGTAAGCAGTTGTTGCTGTTGTTGCTGCTGTTGTTGCGAGCTGAGAAGTTGCTGCTGCTGCTGCTGTTGCTGTTGCTGGGGTTGTGGATTGAGCAATTGCTGTTGCTGCTGTTGTGGATTGAGAAGTTGCTGTTGCTGTTGCAGCTGTGGATTGAGCTGCTGAGAGGTCAACTGATGCGACTTGAGCTGTTGTTGCTGTTGGGCACTAAGCTGCGATGAATTCAAGTAGTAGTTCTGACTTGCGGAGGGAACCTTGGTAGAGGCAAGCCCCGTCACTGGAGCTCGTTGTAATGCACTAAGGTTATTGCCCCTGTTCATACCCTGCACCATTCCTGAAACACCAGGACCTCCGTGGACCTGATTTGTACCTCCTAAAGCAGAGAGCGGATCCACCTGAGTCCGAACTCCAGCTGCGTTCGGCAGCACACCGGTACCTGTCCGTCCCCTCCCAGCTGCTAGTTGTTGCACATTGGAGGCTTGTTGTAATGCAGCCGCCTGATTCATCGTTCCAGGTCCAGATCCAGGCCCGGATCTAAGAAGATTTGCTTGTTGTCCGATAGCATTCATAGCACCCAACTGGCCCATGTTTCCAAGGCTCGACATTCCCAGGGACGACATCCCAGACATGGACGCCATATGATTCATTCCACCCATAGAAACGTTATTCATCCCTCCAAGGTTAACCATGTTGGCTAAACTTGGTTGATTACCTGCATTTGGTGGCATTCCTACCGAATTCATATTATTCATGCCCGTCAGCGCGTTTCCCATAGTTCCTGGTAACATGACTTTCCGCTGATTCAAGAGATGGTGTTGTCGCTGCTGCTGCTGCTGCTGTTGCTGCATGTACTGCAGCTGTTGCAGCTGATTAGACTGGGCTACCAGATGAGGGGCAGCGGAGTTGTGTCCCTGACCACATCAAACCACGATAGAACCAAGTAAGATTTTGAACTTCAATCAAGTTGCAAGGACAAACCAGATCATGAACAGAGAAGCGAGCACAATGAGGAACATTGGATGAAAGCCTACCTGACCCGTCAACTGAGCTAATTGAGAGGCAGCCACCATCTGTTGTTGATGTTGATGTTGCTGTTGTTGGTGTTGCTGTTGTTGTGGTTGCCGTTGCATCTGTGCCTGCTGCTGCAACTGGTGATGTTGCTGCTGTTGGGCTGCCATCTGAGCTGCTTGGGTTGAATCGATTTGAGTAGGCTTGACATTTGAAGCGACAGCTTGCTGCCCCATATGATTGTTCATAATCTGTTGCCGACTAGGAGCATTAGACGGAGGTGGCATCCGGTTGGCAGCCAACTGGCTAGGAGATGATGGCTGCATTGAATTATTAGACATTATGTTGCCTGGCATAGCTCCTTGCATCAACTGAGGATTCATTACAGCTCTTTGTGCAGTTGCAAGGTGGCCAACTTGGGGATTGCCCAAGGTGGAGGCACCTGCAGGCATGGGACGAGCACTCGAGGCTGCATTCACAACTGGATTTCGAGGAGCACTTTGTTGAACTTCATCTGAAACCAGCTCATAATTTTCCTTCTTAAGCTGGCATAACGGAGAAAAGAAGAAACAAACCGTGAGCTAAGCTTGTTATGACGACTTGGAGTATTTTTGAAATCATTAGTCCGAAGAACTTAAACACTTCAGTTAAATCTAGATTAAAGGAAAGACTACAATACTCCCTTTTCGTCAATATCAATCCTCTATTGAACCCCACATCAACTGTATAACCTACGCCACTAACCAACATTCATGAGCTATTATACAGCATATGATTTGATTGTACGATAAGCCAATTATCAAGTATATGCAATTATGTAATTAATCCCGAAACAATTAAGGATATAATGAAAATTGACACAAAACTACATCACTGATACTCTGGATCCTCCCAACATATTCTCTTCATGAGGGTGCGATTTACTATTAGGGACCTAGCAATGCTGGACAAAAGAGTACAAGAAAAGAAGAGAAATGCAAATGTACCAGAGCACAGTATTGCTTTGCAAATCGATCAGCCACATGCTGCACAAACAAATAACAGCCCATGGAATCAGCGCCATGCACATTAACGGGATAAACCTAACCAATCTTTTGTTGAAACCGTCATACAAAACGTGTTCTACATGTACAATTTCAAGGACGTGGGGAGAAATCAAGACGATGCATCCAAACGAGCACAGCTCAGAATGTACTGCACATTCATTACATGCGCACTCCGAAATGCCTCCCAATTAGTATATCTAGTACATATCCTAAACATTCCACGAAAAAATAGATCTACTTCCAAGCCTTATCCCACAGCTTGAGAAACTGATAAACTGAACTCTGTCCACATAAACGATGTCTATCACTTTAGCCTTCATGTTTGATACCTACGCCAACATCAACGAACATCAGGCATTTTCGGTCATTCCTGCTAAGAATTTAGACTGGTGGGTTGCTAGTTAATTTGACAAGGACACATGCACATGCCTCAGCGAGAGAATGAAGTCAATAGAAACTGGTGCAGTCTTGGGGACTTGATACTTACAACATTAGCCATGGTAGGCAAGACATGATGAGGAGGCACAGCTTCCTCTTCTTGGTCGTCCCCAACTTGGATGATAGCCTCCACCAAGCTATCTTTTGCTCGACCACATAACACAAGACGCTTTCGTGATCGATGAAAGTTCATTGCTCCTGTTATCACACCCAAGTATCAGAATCAATTTTCATGTCATATATTCATCATAGAATCCGACTGGTGTACAGTAAATTAGACCAAAGAAACAAAAAAAAAAAAAAAAAAAAAAAAAAAAAAAAAAAAAAAAAAAGTCCTACATGAAAGAGTATTGCTACAACTACGTATATACCCACTAGATCCAACTCCACCATAAAAAACGAACTCAGATTCTAATTCTTTAATGGTGCACATCAGTATGGCAAGTTCAGCGTTGGTACTTGCCTTGATATGTTTGGTCAGGCTTTGGTTCAGTTTTCACAAAAAGCAAGGAACGGGTCTTCCGACAGTTAATATTTCCACCCACAAGAGAATTGGCCATGCTTCGATAACCCATTGGTTCCTTGATCTCGCTATCAGTCTCGGACAAGGCCACTGATAACAATTGGAAAGATGGGGGAGTTTTGTTTGGAAGCACAACATTTTCGGCTGGCTTCTTTCTGTGGTGCAACCCATGCCTGAAAAACAATGTGACCTGTATTCTCAGTAAATAGCTCAAAAAGCGCGCATGAAGGTGAGGAAGGTTAGATGAACAAAATGCAGTCGTGTAAAACTTTAAGGGAAACCAACCCACAGATGAATAAGAATTCAAGAACTGAGGACTAGAAGAAAAACAATACCGAACCGGGTTAAACGAACAACAAAGAAAAAATGTTACTGCGCCAATATGATTAAATCGACCCACCGTTGGATAGCAGCAACTAATTTGTACATCGATTCCATCTCTTTACTCTGGTCCTGATCTTCTGGACCACCATTTGACGCAACTCGTTGCGCAACAGCTGTTGGTTCTATTTTCACACCAGGTGTAGGAAGAGCCCCACTTCCAAGCGCCATAGAAGTACCATTTATTCCAAGATTCGGCGGTGCACTTGTGGCGGATTTGGGCAATGAATTTTGCCTCTGTCGAGATTGTTCCAAAGGGTGTTGCATCTGGAGTGATACATACGGTGTGTTAAACTACGAACATTAAAAGAATTAACAACCAACTTATCACCAATTTACACCCAACCATGTGAACTCTTTCCAAAAAGAATTTCTTTTGTTCCTTCGTTCAATTTGCACAACCACGCTCGTATGGATCAATAAGTTCGGATTTTTGTTTTAATTTCCGTGTTTTAGTCATTAGACCAAATAGCATAGCATTCTTCAAGCAAACACAGTTTCCGGATTGCCACAAAATGAAGAGTTATAGCTACCTTGGGAGAAACAGGTTGAACATAAGTACCTGACCCATATGACTTGGACCGCCAGCAGGAACAAGGTTTGAAGCTAATGCATGCGCTTGTGCCTGTGCCAGTCCACCAACGGGAGGAACCAGGTTGTGGTTGGACCCCATACGTAAATCTGAAACCCCAAGGCCTGAACTAAAATTCACTCCTGAAATCGGTAGGGAAGTCTGAGGCAGGAAAAGGTTCATCGGCAGTGGTTGCTGCACCGTTCCCATATGATCCATGTGTTGACCTGATTGAAACATTTCGTATTACATCAAAGCCTCGTTTAAGTTTCTATTACAAACCCAGCATTTCACTTGGAATCCATGACCTGGTGTGTTATGTGGCATTCAATACAAACCGACTGGGGTCGCGAGGGCATGATCGGGTTTACAGAAGCTGCTGAACTACTTGTCCATGGAGACTGCTACACTAGAAATGATGGTTCCAAATTTGGCATACCTTGCTGTTTCCTTGCGTCCGCAAGCTGTTGCTCTTGTCTTCCTTTCTCAATCTCGTCAAGACTTTGAGTGTCGAATTCTTGTTTGGGCCTAGCAACCTCCTGGAAATCCAAAAGAAGGATTAAGAATGAAGAAAAGAAAGGACATTCTGATTGACGTCAAGAACTATACCTTCACCCACTAATACTAGCCGTACCATGAACAAACAAAGACAACAGTTCCATGGAAGTCTCGTAGCAGTAAAGAACAAGGACTCCTTACATGTGGCTCCATTTTGATCAAATCAGCCGCCTCCCTCTGGTCTACCATAGAGGATCGATTCTCAGAACGAGGAGTCGTGGAACCGTCACCCATAGAGAGAGAGCCCGAGTGCTGAGACAACGACGACAAATGACTGTTGCTTCGAGAAAGCTGCTGCTTCTCTAATTTGAGTTGCTGCTGTTGTTGTACCTTTTCCTTACGTTGTCTTTCCTTCTGTTCTTTTGCATCTTGTTTTTCTTGCGCCTTCCGCTGCTGCAACTGCTGCTTGTCCTGTATTGCCTGCACCCATTACGGTGCTGCTAATCAGAAACCGTTATCACAATACCAAAACGTATACTTTACACATTTGATTTAAAGCTTTAAACAAGTCTCAAACCCCTTCCGACAGCATGAATAATAGGCGTAGTTGCAAGTTCCATATAATAGTCTAGTCCTACTCAGGACTTTAACGAACTGGTAAGAAATCTAGGGGGTTAACGAAGTCAAAGTTCGACCTGCTTTGTCTTCATTTGCTTTGCCTCAGCCCGAGCTGCAGCTGCTGATTCTTTGCTTTCCCTCCTTCCGAGCATGGATGATATGCCTCCTAAGCCGCTTGTAACTTCATGTCCTCCAGCAGATGTTGCAGGGGATAAAGGTCCGGAGGGAACTGAAAGTGTAGAAATCGAATGTGTAAGTCCTGCACGAGCCATTGATGTCTGATGTCCCAAAGAGCCTTGTGAAGCACTTGGCTGCGGTATATACATTCCAGGTGTGGCTTGAGAAAATTTCGAAGCATCTTGTAATCTATGCTTTCCACCTGCAATATGACATACGAACTCCATTCACAACCTTAAACCAAACGTAGAATGAGCATATAATACTGGACTAAGCATGACTGTTGAATGAGAGGGGACAACATCAAAAAGCATGACATACCTGGTGATACAGCAGGGCCATATTCGTTAAGGATAGATGGACCATCCGCAAGCCCTCCGTCAATACTTGACTTCCGGCGCTTAGCCAAACCATCGGCCCTTGACAAAGCTTTGGCGGCGGCGGCAGCAATATGCAACTTTCGTTCTCGCAAAGAACCAGAGGACTTTCGATACCTCCCATACATTGGAGACCATAAGTTATACTTCAACTGCAATAGAAGGAACAGTTCTTTTTAGGACAACATCGTGTCCAAATTCCTTAACAGACTACAAGACAACTCAGTACGTAACATCAACAACTTCTAATAAGACCACCTTCAGAATAAGCATGGAAAGAGATGCGACAGTTTAATTGAACCTTGTTATAGTTAGTTATGAAAGCTTCTTTTGCAACGTCTGGTGTTGGGTCTAAGCAGAGTGGAGGCTGCACAGAGTTTATTAGTCTTGCTTCCAACTCCTGTGGCACATGGTACAACAATTACACGTTAAATCATGTAAAGCAAGCTTTTTTGCTACATGTTCTGATCACTGAGGAGCGCGTTTCAGCCTAAAGAGCAGACCCAATGATCGAACTTCATTCCGAAATAGATAAACAATATGCTGCAGGAATTAGACCCACCACACACTCCTGGTAGGTCCAACCGTCAAAATCCATGGATTCAAGGTCCTTGAAAATATTTCCACTATTTCGCTGCAACACCACGCGATGTACAGTGGGTACCCAGTTCCCTTCCCTTCCATTTTGAGACAGTGCCTGAACTGTCTCCCCAGATGGTGATTGGAGACCATCCCTGTAATCACGGAGCTGGTAGACAAAATGCACCAGAAATGCTCTAGTTTCAGTCTTAGCACTACATCATCAGATTTTGTCCCACAAAAAAGCGCCCCGGGAGCAATTTTCATTTTTGTCCTTCAAAAACTCATCCTAAAAAGACCCAAATAAAACCAAAAAGAAAATGATAGAATCAGGGGACAATGACCATGAAAATGAGGAAATACTTAAAACCAAAGTTATGGTGGGTGCGTCAGTCGCTTAATTAGACATAGTGTGCAAATAAATGAGAAACCTGCAAGTACACACCGACCACATCGAGGAAGAACAAAACTAGAGAAGTTAACAAAAGTAGAAGACCAACCTCGCAGACAACACAACCATCAAAATACTTGACCGGTATGTCATCGAGCAAGGTACTTGGAATCCATCCGCCATCAATAGCCTATTCCGATGCAACACAACAATCTTAATAAGCACATAACAGGTCAAGCAGCACAATTAAGATGCATTGTAACACGTTATACAGCCCAGTGTGTCATCAATCACGAACTAATATTGTATCAAGTAAGGCCAACCTACACAAAACCAGTATCTTCTGAGAAAAGCATGAAACAACGGGGAAGTGTTGTACCCTTAAGAAGTCGCCAGTATTACGATCATAAGGTAATAAGTGCAACTCAGTCACTTCAAGGGCAGGAGGCGGCAATTTTCCCTTCTGTCATAATGATTGAACAATGTCAAACTGCAGATGAAGTGTTCAAAGGATAACCGTAAACAGATTCAAGATGGAACTGCACTTTTCAAAACACAATTTGGTAAATCAACGTCTCAAATGAAATGTGCATCGTACCTCCGTAGGTTTATCAACAGAGAAACCGTCGGGAAACAGATTGATTGCAAATGAAGCCTCAGCATCTGCACATTTACAAATAAAAGAGATGACTAATACTCAGGTACGTCAAGTACGATGGAAGGTTAAAACATTTACTGTTCCATGAACTTCTCTAACTTCTGTAAGAAGAATGGAATAGTAAGTAGGCGGTCAGTGTTTTGCGAAACTTGACAGTTGCAATTGATAATTATACTGTCAAGATGGTTCGTAAGGAACTTGTAATTACCTTTCGGAATATTTCGCCCAAGAGAATCAGCGTATCGCGTCCGCAAACCTTCAGGAGTGCTGCGCTGAACAATCTACAGCACATGCCCATGCAATAAATTGAAGCTCGAGGACAGAGCTGCAGATAAAGCTGCCGAAGATGTAGAACTGAATAGGGTAGTTCGAGCAACATATGTTGGGGACCACGTAACGAATAGAGAAGGTAACTTCAAAGCAGAAGTACAAACTCAAAACACTGACGTAACAGAGTGACTCGACCTTCTGAGCAAATTAAAAAGCTCTGTTGATGGATAAAATAATGAAAGCTAAGCGCTTTACTTGACAATCAAGAGCGAAGATTGATGTACTTATCAAACGAGGGAACATCTCTTCCCTCCATTGGATTTTCACTCTGAACTTTTGGTGGGTGTATGTGATAAATATCGCAACAAGCAGATGCTTAATTTCTCACTCCTCAATGACACAATGAAGATATTAAATTTCTCATCTTCTTCTTCTTCTGATTCTTTTTTCATTCCTTTCTTATTCATTTTCTCTTTTTTTCATAGTTTATAAGATAATTATAAGCGCAAGTATCAGCTAATTACCATGTCTACTTCCAGCTGACAACAATTGTATTTAGATTGTCAATAATTCAGTACGCTTCAATCCATTACAAATTATTAAAGCCGACCCAATTAGTACGAACTTTCAGATCCACAAATCAACAGCATACCTCCCCACGGCTTTTCTTCGCAGGAGGACTATTCACGCCCTCAAATCCAGAGGATAGCGACCGCTTCAGTTTAGGTGCCCCCTCCCGGTGATTGGTGCCATTAACATACGCCACATTCCCTTCAACAGCAGCTTCATGTTTATGAAGCTTCACGTTGGAGGAGATCTTTGGAACGTACCGAGTGCCATTCTTTGAAATTTTAAAAGAGATCCCCACCATGGCTGTCTAGAATTATGCTCAACTCCTCAGCTGAAGAACTTGAAAGCTGCTACTTTTATTGCCCCCACATGCAGACTTAGATTACCTGAAGAGAAAATCAAGTCAAAAGAGAGAAACAGATTCAGTTCAGCAACTTAGAACCGCTCAGGAAGATGCAGATGTTAGGTGCAGGTTCCTGATTTCATGTTGGAGAAGACATTATCCGAATTCTACTCAGAAAATATTACTGTAATCAAATTACACCGGTCAGAAACTGTGTGGTCTATCGAGGGGATGTTAACCAACAAATCTATGAAAATAATGCGCGTATCCTCACAGCACTATTTAAATGTTGCCACCCTATGACTGGATGCTTTTGATACATGTTGCCACCAAATGTGTAAAATCTCTAACTGAGCTCAAACTCAGAACCAAAACAGTGGCAAGTTCAACAAATACTGAGGTCCATACAGCGAACAAGAAACCAAGTGCGTACTACTCGGCGTGTTTTCAACTTTATACTCGCAAATAATCGTGGTAAGATACACTCCTTGCCCTAGAATTAAATTGAGGGGGCCCTATACGCTCAATCGCAAAACCCTTGGACACGCATCAGCGTGTACCGTGTCCCAAATTCGGAGAAATCAGTTTGATTAGGTCAATTTCCCAGAAACATAATTTGTTCACTGCGTTATTCATCGCGGAATTGACATGTAGTTACACACACCTGTAAAAAAAATAAGAGAAAAAGTAGTAAACAGAACAGAGGGCGGGCATCAGAGGTCGTACATTGAAACCAGGGGTAAGACGAGGGCCAAACTTCGAATCCTTCTGAATTTCTATCCTTTCCCCAGGTCCATAATTCACAAAGCCAGTAAGTGGGCAGCCACACCACGTTCACTTACAACACTTACGAGACACGGAAACGCTGACGGAGCTGTTAACCATCAACCCTGAGGCTAGCTGCACAAGGCGAGCGCATGGACCCTTCGTAGCACCAGAGTAAACCCTAAGCAGAACAGACACAGAGCAAAACCACACACTAACAGAAGAGCGGCAACTTTCATCAAAGGGAAAAAAACGCAGCGACGTCAATGCGATCCGGCAAGTTTCTTAGCGTGACATTGAGCGATGCTCGATGAAGAGCTAACTTCGGCCCTAAGCCGAGCGGAGCACCGACAGACATGAATCAACACACAACACTACCACGGAAACAGAGTATCGACTGGAATCTAGCACTGCAAAACTCAGGGCCAAACTCAGGATGAGATTGGGGGTAGGGACGAGTCTGCAGATGGAGAAACCAGGCAAATCTGGAGTCCGAATCCCGGATGGCTTCTATTAGGAAGGGATTATAATGTAGAGAGTAGTAGTACTCTTGCTGTGGCTTATCATAAATAAAAGAATTAAGGTATTAATCACGAGTATATCAACATGTTTAACTCGAAATTTTCAACTTCATGGGAAATTTCAAAGAGCACATTTGAATAGTTATTGTATTTTGGATACTTGACAAAAATGATAGAAAACGTGTGTTTTAGTTTTTTGTTTGTTTGTTTGTTTGTTTTTCTTTGTAGATCTAATTGTTTCAAACAGTTTCCAGTGAATACTTTTAATGCTTGATTTTAAATTTAAATTTTTCAACAAGAAAACTTTTTAAATTTGTATGTTGCTATTTTGTTTGTAATGAATGTGTGATAGGTTTTTTTTCATAACTATACACTTTTAGATTCTTCTGCAATCTTCTGGGTTATTTTCATAGCCTCCTGAGATATTTTATAAATTTATTGAAACCTTCTAAGCAGAGGCTTTGTAAGTAAGTCTTGCTTTGAAGTATCTATGGGAAGCGTCTTGAAGGAACTCATCTTGGTAAACCATTTTTTTAAGCTTCTTTCAAAAGCTTTGTTTGATAATTTGGATGTCAAGACATTAGAAGCTTGAGCAAAAAGCTTCTGGTCTTATAAGCAGTGTAGTGGAAATGAGTTGGACATCATTCTCAGTCTAAACATAAACAAATATATGTATGTATATATATATATATATACAACATTTTTTGTCAATTAATGATATTCAATCCAAAAGAATCAAATTGATAAGTATTTAGTTTTAGAAATTATGCAGATGCTCTTATAAGTTCAAAATCATATCAGGAAGATTTACAATAAATAAAATCAATGGCATATAAAATGGGTTTAAATTATTTAGTTCAAACATTATAACTTACTCCTAAATTTGAGGAAAATCCATCCAATATCTGGAAATTCAAAACAAAAATCTTGGTTAACCATATCATGAAAAAGAAACACTTTTACATCAAATAAACAACTGATAAACAAACTCAGAAGAGATATTTAATGTGTTCAAAAAAATAGTATCACATCTAAAATACCAATGTTTATTATTTAACAGGTATATTTGCATAAAATTCAACTATGGTTTTGACTTGCAAAATCATTCATTTGACTTTTGAACTGTTATTTCAATATGATAATTGTATAAATTAAAAACTCTAATAATTGCTTTCTCTATATTCTACCTTTATCTGCAATACTTATATTCTTTGCTTTTGCACCTACTTGATCTTAATGATGCTTGTAATACTTATGTTTCTTATAGTGAACTTACCACTTAGGACAAAGAGTAAATTTTTCTTCCTTTCTCATCATACAAAATAAGTGAAATTCTTTCTATTATGCGCTTTTACTTGCATTCTTTCGAATTCTTGTTAATTCAAATATTTAATTCAATTTTGTACTATCTATTTTCAACATTCATGTAAAAAAAGACTACGAGTATTGATGTTGTGTATTTGAATTCCACAATTCAAAAAACATAAAGTTCTTACAAAACCGTGAATATTGTACTCATTTGTGTGCAAGAGAAAGAAGAACTACAAAACAAAATGTATTCAAGAGAATAGCAAATCAATCATGTGTTGATCATATGCATGTTAACAAACTTGGTATGTAGAAGGTTGTTATTGAAACAAGACTTTTAAAATCAAGTGTGTTATAAAACTTAATGAAAAAGATCTTTTTTACAACTTGTTGATAATAATGAATACTTGAAAAAATTATAGAAGATTTTAAAATAATGATGAAAAAAGTATCAATGATAGTAAACTTTTGAAGATGGCAATTCTTGACCTCTATAGACTTGAGATGATGAAGGTGGAATAGATGGTGGGATTTGTAAAGCAAATATTTCACATCATGAGACTAAAATAGTTCAATTAAAGTATTTTTTTTTTATGTTGTATTCTTTCTTAGTCTTATGCACATGACTTTTTAACATTTGTTTACACATTCAACCGCTACAACAATTTATATGCTTGATTTAACAAAAACAAAAAATGAAAATGTAATGTGTGATGTGAATATGTATATATACATAAAAGTAATCTAGTTTGCAACAGCATTTGCAAGAATAACTCAAACAACGATTATTTATTTATTTATTTATTTATTCTTCATCTACCTGTAAACACATAAAACCCAATATGATGCTGATTATTACTATACTCAACAACTTGCATGAAAACATACTTGTAATAAAGAAAATCACATCAATTAAATATATATATATATATATATATATATGTTTCAACAAATAAGCTTTTACTTGATTCAATTTAGACTCCACAACACCAATGAAAAATTGCATAATGTAGTAAACATTGCATAAATTAGATACATTGATTCCTTTAGAGTTAATTTGCTTCAGTTGATATTAGAAGCGTACTTTTTGTTTAAAAAATAATTTAAATGTAATTTCATCACTTTAAGATGTATTTACAATCTCTGTAAAGTGATAAGACCCAGTAACAAAAAAGATAATCATAAGATTAAAACCAAACACATAATTCTACATTTAACTTTTTTGTGAATTATACAAAGTTAATCATAAGATTAAAACCAGATTTTGTTTTCATGGCATGATGTTTACGAATGTCTTGTCTATCAAGGTGAGACAAATGCCATAACCAACATGTCATGAGATCCTGACATTAAAACATTACATCATCTTAAAACAAACTGTCTCGAGTAAAAAAATAAAAATAAAAATAAAAATAAAATAAAATAAAAAAAAGAAAGTAGTGATAAACTTGTTTTAAAATCTTGTTCACAAAGACAGAAAAATGACATAAATATTAAGTAAAAAAATGTAATTCATTCATTCATTCATTCATTCATTTTTAATTTATATAGTTTACAACTCTACTGCTCTTTAATATTGTCATTTATTTTGTATTTTTGACAGAGCTACATACACATGTTCACATCTCTATTGTTTACATGAGTTTTTTAAAGTTTTTTTTCACACAAATTGCATAAAAAACTCTTGGTATCTCTCTCTCTCCCTCTCCCCCTCTATCTGTCTGTGTGAAAATATATATATATATATATATATGTACTTATTAGTGTGGATAGAAATTTGAAATACTGAAGTGTTTGAATTCTAAAACAATTTATGAACCAATGTCAATTTCACCAAACACATAACAAACCCACATCACATAAAGAGGATGAATAGGGGCGCAACCCCTCCACTTTAGGTGTGTGTGTGTGGGGGGGGATCATCTAGAAGCGAGGGAACAAATTAAAAAACCCTAAAATAAACCCAAAAAGTAAAAAAAGAAGTGAAAAAACAAAAAGTACAAAGTCTAAAAGCCAAGAAAACAGAATCCAAGAAAAGAAGGCGCAAGGAAGAGACGCCGCGGTAGAGCGAGGGGGAGGGATGAAATGATATTGGTCCCCTATCACCGCCTAATCGCGGGCACCGGAAAGCGTGGCCAGGGTCTCCGCGAGACGGAGCGAGATCGAGGAGGGAGGAAGGACGGGGAAGGAGGAGGAATGGTCAAATCGAAGCAAGTGAGCAATCAATCGAGCGAGCATTGGAAACCAAACAATCAACAAGCGAGTGATCGAACAAGGACCCACCTCATCGCGACGGACGACGACGACGAACGAAGAAGAAGGAGCAGAAGGAGAAGAAGAAGAAGAAGAAGAAGAAGAAAGAGGCTCACCAAGCAAGGTCGTCGTCGATATTCGTCGCGGGAACGAGCAAAAGCTGTAGTAGGTGCAGAAGAGCACACAGTGCAGCGCAGCAGCAAGAGAAGAGTCCGCGCGCGAGAACTGGAAACGTGCCCCGCGGACACTCGTCTCGTTGTTTCATCGCTGCGGCCAACTTCTCTTGTCCCTGCATCATCGTCGTATCACTCCTTCCCCAGGAGGAGGAGGGAGGACGAGCACTGTGTGTGTGTGTGTGTGTGTGTGAGTGTGTCGTGGGACTGATGCGTGAGCAGGCAGGGGCAGGGCGTTGATGTACACCGGTGGCTCTCGGTGGTGGTGTCGTATGCTGCGCGGCGTGGTGGGTGCACATCGACGACGGCATTGGGACGGGCGTAGTTGTTGCTGTTGCTGATGACTGCTTGAGCCTTCGAGCCGCGCACCAGCTCTGGTGGTGAAGGTGGATCTCCGCACACCCCGGGGTTGTTGTTGTTGTTCCTCGGGTCCTGCATGTATATGCTTTCACTTCGTGTGTTGAATTTCGTGCCCCCGCGAGTTGGAGTTTGGGCAGCTTGGATGGAGGAGTGGAGAAGGTGTCGGTGAGAAAGCGGGGGATGGGATTGGTTTGACGCGGCCCCCAGAAAGCGGTTTAGGGGTCAGTGTGGAGGTGAGAGAGAGTCAGGGTGATCCATGTGCGAGTGGGTGGGCGAGAAAGCGAGAGAGCGAACTAGCGGGGGGCGATCGGGTGAGTGTGTTTTTGTAGAGATGGCGAGCTCAAATACAGTGTGCGCGAGGCTATCGGGTTTCGGAGTTCTGGGTTCTGTATTGTGTCAGCTGAGTGTGTCGGGTGGGTGTTGGGCTTGGGGTTTTGGTATTGGTTTCTTGTTACGAAATCCTTACCATTGGCCTGTTCTGGGTGGGGATTGGGAGAGTGGAGAAGATTCATCTAGTCTTTTTGGGGCCATGCATACACTTGCTCTGAGATTTTGGTGCGCAAAGTGCGTTTTTCTTTCTTTCTTTCTTTCTTTCTTCTCTCTTTATGTATATATTTTCACTCTCTCACACACACACACACATGCACTAAAAATTATAATTTGGTTTCGTGAGAGATTCAAAGATGAAAGCTGGGATTTTTTTTATCGTGGTTGTGGGTGTGATTGCTTTGTATCTTTTATCACAGAAGAAGTATCACGAACCAGGTGACCATGCCGAGAGTTTCGTATGTTCAGTAGGGCGATGTTCGCAGAATGCATCGTTAATGAGTGACTTGAATGCAGGTGACTCTATCGCAGATTTGGAGATACCAAGCACTTGTGCCACGAAATGGACGGTCTGCTGGAGAAGATTGTGGAATTGGCGAAGGATGCTGAACATTTGAAACGCACTTGTCGGTGTGAGCATGGCACCCCTACCCGGTCAAACAAAAAAGCCAAGAGAAACGGTCATAACGGGACTCCCGCTAGTCCTGAAAGGCAGTCGACGGACATCATTGCTTCTTCGCCTTTTAATTTTCGAGGCCATAAGGTGTTCGTTTTTCTTAATCTGTATTTACCGGATGATTCCCAGCATGTGGTTTATCCATGCCAGGGTCGAGGAGAGTGAACAATACCTGGTTTCATTCATCTCAACCAGACCCCTTCCGCGCATTTCGTTGCTGTTGTCTTGATCTTGATATAGAGGCTTTCTAAAGAAGATTCAACTCCCATGAAATGCAGTTCACTTTTTCGCTGCCTTCGCTCTTTCCTCTGGCCTGCTTTATTTCACCTACGATGTACACTTAGGAAGAATTTCACGTTTAAATTTGACCGGTGGAATTTGGAGCAGTTGGATTTTGAAGGACCAGGAGGAGACGGTGACTGGGTGTCGGCATTTAAAGCAGAGGCTGGGCCATGGTCGGGTGAACGGCTGGTGGTCCTCAGCCTATTTGATGGACTCGGCGGAATTTGGCAAGCGCTCACTAAACTTGGCATTCCCTTCAGTGGGTACAGCTCTGAAGTGGTAAGCTTAAAACCCTCCATACAAGTCTATTTACAACAGAGTAAAGCACACGTGAATGAATCCTTGGCTGTGATATTTTTCATTCTCTGGTCACCAAGTTCGTAAATATCTTCGTAGTGGCGGCTACGACCATCAACTAATGTGCCGTTCATTGAAAGACCTGCATCTGTATATACTTCTCTCGCTCGTCGATGATGAAAGTCGATGCTTGGGCTGTTATGTCACAGTTGGCGCCAGCAATACAAGTTGTAAAATCTCGGCATCCCCGTGTCAAACATGTGGGTGATATTCGGAAGTTGAACCTGTCTGCTGTACCGGAGAAAGTGGATCTTGTAGTTGGCGGCTTTCCATGTCAGGATCTAAGCATCATGGGGAAAAAGGAAGGGTGAGCCTCACAAATTGTGCCCGGGTCTCTCAGCACTGTTGTATGAAGCCCGGAATGGATAACAATCTTTTTCTTTACACTTCTCTTAACATGCTCAGACTGTGCATTATTTATATTTATGCCTCGAGATTGAAGAGTGACGATTATGTCTTGATATTAACGTAATATATCTGCGGTTCGGAATGGGGCTTCTCAGGCTGGAGTGAGTTTATGGGGTTTGCTGGAGCTGTGAGTTAGTGAGTATATATGTACTAAGATGCTATCAATGTGTGCTAAGACACTCACAGCTCCAGCAATCAATGTGAAAGTTGATAGCTTTTGTGCATACTGCTGATCTTTCTATTTTCTTTTGGTTTGACTTAAGTGAATCTTTTCTGCCAGGCTACACGGAAGCAGGAGCAAACTCTTCTTCGACCTTCTTCGCGTGTTAAAGGTCTTTAAACCCAAATGGTAAGCCTTGTGAATATTTTACTGGGTGTGCATTTCTTTTCTTGAGGAATTAATCGATCAACTGCGTCGGTACCGCGCTTGTTTGGATATATCAGTTTGTCATTTAGTGATTCTTGTTACGAACATCAGTGAAGTTTTAAAGAAATGTGTTTGATAATGGTATAGGCTTTTCATATGTTGTATGCTTAAGAAAGTTGGTTTTTATCCATTTTCGGTCGCAGGTTCTTAGTAGAGAACGTTGCATCAATGTCGTGGGTTGATCGAGAGGAGATCACTAGGCATTTAAAAGTGGCACCCATGGAGCTGGATTCTCAAGAGATCACAGCTAGTAAGCGCCGCCGTCTTTACTGGACAAACATTCCTCATCCTCCACGGTTGCCTCGCTTACGCGATCACCCGTCTACGTCCCTTCAAAGCTGCCTTGAGGGTGCACTTGCACTAGAACAGAAATGCGGAGTAAGCTCTTGACATCTGGACTGAGTGACTTGCTTCTACTGATCATTGGAAGTCTTTGCTGAGTTCAGGCCCTGACTTATTTGGAGTGCTCAGGTCATCCTCTGCAGCAACTTGTATAAAGGTAGTACCGCCAGATTGGAACTCGTCCTAGATAACAAGACCAATAAACTTCGATATATCAAGCAGACGGAGGTTGAAGTGCTCATGGGCTATCCCAAGGATTATACGAATGTTGTAGCGCATGAAACTAAGGGGAGAACAGAACAAGCTGAAAAAGTCTTGAAAACACCAGTGTAAGCCAGCGGAGAATGGCCCGGGCTGTATGTTATATTGTTGTCCCGCTTTCATGTATTTGAGTAGGCCCCTACCTGTGAAACCATCTGGTAGATGGTTTTGCTGCCATCTAAAATTCCCTTTCATTCATACCAGAGTTTTTACTGTTCGTGTGATGCAGAATCACAATGTAGCAAATGTAGATGTCCAGAATTGATTGACTGCAGCTTCGCTTTCAGGATTCACCTTGAAATTGGGTTAATGTTGCAGGAGAGCGAAGTCTGTCGAGCCGAAACCTAGTTCTGTAACACCACCCTCATCAAGACAGCTGCGTAAGAACAGAAAGTCGCAAACTTTTTTCGTTCCACAAGTATGGGAAACAAAGCCAACTCGACAGGATAGCCTTAAAGACATTGATAGGTGGTTTTTACTGGGCAATACATTTTCGGTACGACCCATGTTCCAATCTTTTGACTTGCCATCATAAACTGGATTCACGTCCTGTCTTGCATTTCTAGAAGCAGAAAACCCGTTGCAAAGGTTCATTTCATTAAAATAGCAGCTGTACTCCTAGCATTACTTGAGACGCTGTATTTCTCATTTCAACAATTGCGTGACGAGATGTTGATCTGAATGTAATGGTGAAGCTTCAGCATGTAGAAGTTGGCGTGTTTTTAGAATTGCCCTCGTACATTCTGCAGAAAGTTTTAGCATCTCGAATTGTAAATTGTGGACCAACTTACCTTGTTGTGAAGAGGGTCTTCTCCTTGACATTATTTGTGGGCTTCTAAGTTATGTCTTTTTGGAGGATTCAGGTGCAAGTCATTGCATACCTCACCAGCCCGTTGCTGAGAGCCGAAGTTCGTTCCCATGGGAAACGAGTAAATATTGTTGGCTCAGTTAAAGAGGAGGAGTTGTCAGCTATGGAACCCGGTGATGTATGCATTTTTTCTTTCTTGTGTGATTTATGTCCTGATTATGCTATGGTTTGTTTATATGTTATAATCGTTGATTTCAGTTTGATAATTTCGCAATCTCTCGTACCTATGAGGATTATTATTATTATTATTTTCGTCGATTACTATGCGACTGTAATTTATAAGCTACTGCAATATGATTCCCTGCTCTTGGCTGTTGGCACAGACCTGATACTATTTTCACCTAACTGTTGGCAGGTTTGGGCATTATTCAATGAGTATGGGCGACCAAACTGGTATGCTGTCATTGAATCTAGAACTGGGGACAGATTTTCTGCCTTTCCAGATGCTACTGGTAAACGGAATGTCACAAAGCTGCCCCTCAAAATTGAAATGTGAGACATCAGAATCTACAATTCTCTCTCTCTCTCTCTCTCTCTCTCTCTCTCTCTCTCTCTCTGCTTATTCTTCTTCGTCGTCTACTTTTTAATATCTGAATTTTGTTTTTCGGGGATTTGTGGTTAAATGTTCCTCTAACTGATGAATAATCCACCTTTTAAGTTATTTTAGCATAAAAACTTTCTGGAAGTATTCTGATGACTTCACCATTTAGGATGATTTTTTCTTTTCTGATTGACCTTTACGGTCGTATCGTCACTTTTCTGAAAAGTGCAGGAAATATCTGGAAATGACGCCTGCCTATCTCAAAGAAGAAGTAGACGAGTGGAATCCACAGCGAGGTTCTGGCTTATTGAAGTTACGCAACGTGATGGATATTCAAGACAATTGGCAAGCTTTTTCTCACAGGTGCTCAAAACTTTACATCATCATATTTTCTACTATTTAGAACGAGGCGAAGCACCTTCCTCTTCTGCACGTTTCATCTGGCGCATAAAATGTAGTTTCTGTCTTGCTCAATGACATCGTAGAAGTTTCTTACGAATCTTTTCCTGTGTTTAAGTTTGCAGTTTCCTGTAGCGAATGTTTAAGAAATATGCGAAAATGACTGGGAGCTTGTTTTAATCGTAGCCTTGAACCTGCTGATCGCTACGTATCGATAGAGACTCAGATCAGCTTTGAGTGAATGTTGTCTCGTCACAGTTTGAGTTTGTTGAGTTCTTGAAAACAGGGTGACGAGCTATGTCAAGTTGGAGGACTCCTACTTTGTGTACCCAGGAAACGATGAGGTTTGGGCCGTTTATAATGGTGAAACCTTAAGTCGTTATTTTGTGGTGAGTTCATTACTTGGACATAGATGTTGTTTTGGCTTGAGACAAAAGCCTAACACCTCATGAGAAAGGTTTTTATCAACAGTGAAGAGTGTTAAGAGCAGGATTGATGATGGAGTTGGAAGGAAATGGGATATTCCGTACAAAGAGGATGCTTTCATCTTGTGTACATATTCTTGTTTGCAAATCTAGAACCGAAACATTATATATAAATCTGTGTGTGTGGTTGTCGACTAGCACACAATCGCAACTTTACTCTTTTTTTTTTTTTCTTTCTTTTTTTTTTTTTTTCCTGTTGTGCTTTTCTTTGATTTTCTGACGTACCCTACACTTAAAAGTCAAATTGATTCGCGTTGTTTGGGCAGTATGTGTCCGAGAGCACAATTAGTTCCGACAGACTAAGGAGAGGCAAACCGGGACAAGAAGGATTTCACGCGCGCTGCCTGCTTTTGCAGAAAACAGCAGAACATGAAATTTTCCTGTAAGATTTCCTGCTTCAGTATTCATCATTTCCTGTAAATGAAGTCTAGTTTTTTCTAGTTTAATGATTATTATCGGTTGTGAATAATCTAGTCGCGTTCAGAGCTTGATCATTGGAGTACGAACTTTTTCATGTTCTGCAAGAGTGACTATGTTTTGTAAAATGATCGTGGTCTAGTCCTAGAATGTTTGGAGTGGTGTTGAGAGTGGACTTTGCATGCGTGCTCGTTTCTGTCTTGCAACAGTATTCTGAATTATTTATTTGGCTTACAAAATGTTTTTGACCAGGAAAACCTCCACAATGGTGGAATTTACTGATCTCCAACCCTTTTGCTTTCGAGTTCCATTTTATATCAAACATGAAGCAAATTTGCTTAAAGTAGAGGTATCTGGCGTCAAGAGCCGACAAAGCATGAGGGCAGATAAGGATTCAACTGCAGGATATGAAAGGAGAGGAAAGAAGGATCTGGGTGGACCAGATGATGATGAAGATGGCGACCTTATTGGTGGTGATCTCGATTTTCCCGAAGACAATGACGCAGACCGTATTGGTGCTGCTACGGGGACACCAGGATCCATTGAAATGATGTCTGGATAAGGAAGTGACGTCTCCACTCTGTAAATCTGCAGTACTTTGGATAGCGGAGCAGCTTCCTCTCAAAATTTATTTTTAGTTCAAGCCCTGTAGCATAGATGGCTATTCTTGTCTACAAGAAATGATATCTCTGAAATCTCACGAAGGTGGGCAATTTAAAGATAGTATTTTCAGCTCCTATCCGCAGACTCGGTAGACAATCAGGTGCTTCGGCAAGTGACTGCGGTTTGCAAAGTTTTTATGCGGTAAGGGCTCAGGAACATGGATTGAAGGTGTTAATAATGTTTCTCCAGGTGGTAGGCTATCAGCATTCTTCCAAGTAGGTGACAGAAAGAACTTCGTACTCCTAAGCTGCAGCTGTACCCTTTACGATGCGTGTTATTCTTGTGAAACGTATAATTTGATGGGGCAAATTGCAACGTTGATTGATCAGAGTGGAACAATTCTTTCTGAGGTCTTTCTTGTCTTCACTCATGCTTCCAAGTCTTTTACCGAAGACGAGGTTGAACGTGTGGAATTGGGTTCCCATTCATTCGTGTGGTTTCCAACACTTTTGGATTTGTGTCATGAAAACAAGGGACTCCAAAGTAGTTGTTTGTGTTAAAAAAACTCATATTAAACGCATATTAAAACTTTAATGATGTTTATGAGTGCTAGTTTCCATCAAATAATGAACAAAAATGATATTCTTAGTTTAACAGAAAATCCGGTATAGGAAATGACATGGGCTTCTCAATGTCACGATTGTAGTTTCCTTACCTCAGCGTTTATGTTTAGTTTTATTTTAATATTTGCATCCATACTATGTACCTAATGCATTGATCACTAAAATTGTGCATTTCTGCTAAATATGTAATTCTTGCATGAGTGAAAGTAACCTGTTGCACCAAGTTTTTTTTTTGTAGTTATTTCAATTTCTCAATTTAACCAGGCACTGTCAAAGTGAAATTTGACCGAGGTTGCTTTCCCGATAATCTGCTCATCATTATTTTTGTTCATTTTCTTTGAGATCTGAGCGTGCCAACTACAAATTCTCAAAACTCAGACTATTGCTACTTGCATCGGTGTTAACAATCCATTGGGAACATGCACTTACCTTCATGGTGAACTTGTATCAAGAAGGGGAACCAGCTTCTAAACCTGGTTGAGTTTCTTCAACTACATTTCAGTTTATCTTACCTCAAAGCGCAACAAGCGAACAAATTCCAACAGAGACTGGAGATTCTCAATGATTTATTTATAAATATATGGTATGGGAATGGGAACCATACCATGAGCTATTGCTCTTGCACAAAGCAGTAATGAAGCTCCATATAGTTACACTATGAAGAGAAACTAAGTTTCCATAGGAGCATTTCAGTTGAGCTTCTAAATTATTTAGTGGCCTAGAAAACAGAAACTAGTAGAAAATACGAGTTTGCATTCATTTCCTATTAAACGTGTGTATCATCCAGTAGACTCCAGATTAAGATTGTATAATTAATGAAGTATACGAGTATAATAGTTGTACTTAACGAGATGTTTGAACGATATGGAGTGAGTATCTCCACAGACTATTCTGGATTAAGCAAACTTTCTGTTGTTTCCGCAACAGTTTGGAATGCGAAAAGAGGCATCAAGTGTGGTCCAATCGGGCATCTTTATCAGTCTTCGGAATTCTAAACATTGCCTGGTTCGGATCGAAGAGGGCGTATACCCCTTCACCATAATAATATTTGAGGTTTCATGAAGAGAAACTTCGTGAACACCTGCAGGAGGAGATCACCGTCCATGATTAGATCTTACTGTCTGAAACTAAGTATTATGATTAGTTATCAGTTAGGGATGGTGAACACACATTTGATCGGTTTGAAAGCTTCTTCAGCATTTGAGGAACAATTGAGGCTTCAGTTGCCAACATAAAAAGAAAAGAAGGAAAACTGGTAACTCACTGAATTCTTTTGATAAGGTGCTTTCTAACCTTCAATTTTTTGCTATCCTGGTAGACCGGGGGAGCGTAGTATTTCTGGGAAATCTGTATTCAATTTTAAACGAGAAACAAAAAGTTAACATGAGACTACATTCGTGAGACTTAACAACATGCAACATGTGAAAAGATTCAAATGGCTGAATCAGTGACACTGATGGTGTAATGGTAATAATTTACTTCAACGTTTTCCAGTTCCGACTGCATCATGGACTGATACTTTGTGCTCGTTTCTTCGACCTCAATCTGGTGGTTAAGTTGCATTAAAAGGATACAAGGGAATTAGGCTCTGAGAAGAAATGAATTAAATAGGAGAATAATCAGAGAGGTGTCAACAGCTGATGAATTCGTTGAGCAGGTCGACAACATGGAGTCCAGCCAAGATTCAAAAAAGAGATTAAAAGATGAAAACTACTCTGCCATGTTGTCATCGCGTGCAGTTCACACACTTGATCGAAACAAATTGCAATTCTTCCAGTAAACACCGACTTGCCTCTGCATAATCGTCAATATGAGAGTGCGAGCAAGGAAACAGTTGCAAAAGGATCAGGCACGCTCGCAGATCACTCTCGTATCGTGATTTTCACCTCATTTGGGAAGACTGCTGCTTCATCCGGAAAGTATCGTTATCAACGGGTGATTGTGGAGCTCACAGTCTGCCATGTTGCCTGTCCGTCGTTCAAAGTTTGTAGCTGTCGATTAAACACATATCTTGTGTCGGAGGCGAGAGACCCAACACGTCCAAAGTACAACTCATACATGCTGCCATGCCGATTTCCTAGGCTTCCAGAGCTTTCGCCACTACGACTTTGAACACGCTGGGACTTATGCTCGACGTTTAAGGTTTGTTCTCCCGCAACCAACGTAGATTTCTTGGTGCGGACTCGTCGTTGTTCTCACCGGCAGACTTTGTGATCAACGTGGATGTCTTGAATACAACAGTTTCAACATTATAATCTCTTTGAGGTTTCAGTTGTAGGTATCCCTACTTCAATGAACGTTTCACCAAAGAGTGGAATATTTAAAACGTGGAAATGCTACGTTATGAGGTTGCTCTTGGTGTGACATTGACTAGTTACCTAGATGAATTATCGTAGGCAAATGAAAGGTAAAAGCGGCGACTTTGATTTGGAAAGAATGCATATTCTAACATGTTCCAAAAAGTGAGGTCCAATCTGAAAGGTTTAAAATTACATACTTTGATAATACTTTCAAAGTGTCATGAATGGAAGGAGTGAAAGCATGTTCACTCAAACTATGCATTATAGAATTCGGTTTTGATTACCGATATTCTGACGAAAATTAGTAGAAATAAGCGAAATTACATTGAATTTCTACATCTGTACGAACTTTGTGATCAGGGCAAACAGACTATACATGCTCAAATAGTGGTATTATGTTTTAGACCATAAGGGAAGTTAACAGCTTTAGAGAAATATTGATTGCCTGCCAGTCATTGAAATGCCTCAGTCATGCCTTTGTTCTTCCAGTATTAGGTGCATGGCGGGGACCACAAATTCTTGATGGATGGAATGTTAGTAGACAACGGTCCACCTTGCGTCTCGTCGATAGACAAAGAACCGAAGGGGAAGGTGAATAAAAATTAAAAAATTAAAAAATTAAAAAAAATCCAAAAAAAAAAGAAGTATTAGAAATAGGAAAACGGTAAATTCACCAAATTCTACTTCAAAATCTCTGGAAACGTTGTCTGACCGCAATCAACAAAATGGATCAATTTGAAGGCGTGTTTGTCAAATAGCATCGCTGTTCTTGGAAGACCACTTAAAATTTAATATTTCCAGTAAGAAAACATTTGAATGGGTTTCAACGGAATCATCCTCACGAATAGTGTCTGCGGGTTTTCAACTCAACGAGTCTACTCCTTGCATTATCTGGTTGGATATTAATACAGAGGCTCTCAGATTTTGCAGATTTTGTAGCGTAACTGTTGCTTACAGTGTATCGACATTAGAACCGAGCGCGGGCTCGCACCGCCCGCCAACGTTCTCCAATCCACACTATGGCATGCACCATTACGGTGAGATGTGCAGAAGGCAAGAACTACTAGAGAAAACGTCAGCTCGGGCACAAACCTCGCCTTCATCAGCGGCGTTGCGAAGAACATCTACATTCAGGAGCCTCACCATGTTGGCCGCAGATCTAGACTCCCACAAACTCCCTTGCTAATCAGAATAATACTGGAAAATTCAACTCCAGCAACGTTTCAAAAGACCTTTTATCCAAACCAGCGAGAGACTGGAGGCAACGCGTGGAGTTTCGAGATCAGACACTTTGTCACGGATTAGAAAAATTTGAGTCGGTGAAAACAACATAGTTCACAACGACAGATTACGTAGCATGGCAGGAATGCGATTTTGGTTGACGGAACAATGAACGGGTGATCAATGCAGACCACCACCGATCGCACACACTGCGAGTTCGATGACTTCATCTGTGTCTTCGTTGCTTGAGATGTATGTCGATCAAGATTGCGAGGCCTTCGATCCGAGTTTGCAGATTTCGATACTGGGTTCTGCAGAAGTTAAATGGGTGGATGAGGAAACGCAACTATTTTGTGGTAGCAGGAGATGTATGAAAGTCTGCTTCCTCTTCGACGTCTCTTCGCTGCAAGATATCGACAAAACGAGCATTCTCTTACACATTTTTTCACACGAGTTGTCCAATTGATGGTCTCATTTTATATTACATGTCGCAGAAATATTTCTTGAAGTTCCAGTTTGATGTAAGCATTTTAAAAACACAGTAAAATACATGCATTCGTAAACAGTTCAATGTGACATTTAAAGATTTCATTGCACAAGATGCAAAAACAAGTACAGATTTCAGTTTTATTGTGCATACAAAAACAATCTTAAACTAGATTATTATTTTGTACTTTTTTATATTAAACTATTTTTACTTTATTAAATATTTCATGAGGGACGTTTTAAAATCTCATTTTAACCAGTTGTGCAGATGGGTCATATCTTCTATCCGCTTCGGTTTTGTGTGTTTCAGGTGGGAAAACACCACCAACTATACAAATCCCCAGACATGGGAGTGTGAGGGGAAGAACCAGCCATTTCCTAACAGAAGTTCTGCTTCATCTGCCTCATCTGCACTATTCTTTACGCATTGTCATGTAAGACACATTCAGGACATACCTATTCAAAATGCTTCTAGATTTGTTTTAAGAATCAAAGAAAAAGAAAAAGAAAGAAAGAAAAAAAGAAAAAATTGCACTTCTGTTGTACCGGGTTTCTTCCCAGTGGGAAGCTGAAGAGAATTTCTACAAATTAGATGTGGAAGGAAATCAAATATCTTCCAGAAGAAATGATGCGATACTGAACTCCACTACATACAACTAATACCTTTGAATGACGTCATTCTAGTGCCATCTACTAGACTCGCAAATAAAAACGATTTTAAGATAATTGATTACTGGTAGGTAGGTTGTCAAGGCTCAGGACGCAGTTTTGAGCAATCCTGCGAGGGGAATAGATAGCGAAACGTAAAGTCGTTCGGTAGAACGTTGAAGTTTCTTGAGCCGAGGAGACGATGCCTGCGCTGTTGAACGACCTCAGACACGACATCTACTTGGTTGCTGAGAAGGCGGTTGAAGACCCAATCCATGATGTCAGCATCTTCAACATGTTCACGAGCATAGGTGTAAAGCAACTTTGGGATCAATAGCCTGCCCTTTGTTGAGATTCCTACGGCCGCCCTTGCATAATCACGGAGAGAATCTTCGAGCTGCGCCTTCACATGCTTAGCTGTGTAAACTCTAACCTGCCAGTACACAAAAGTATAACAAAGACTTCAGACCGTGAACTTCGAACTAGATCGCCGGTGGTCAACGTGCCGTAAGAATACACGTCTTATTGCAACCTCATCAAAGCCCTTCAATAGAATCCTCTTCGAAAGCATTACTTTGAAGTCGAACAAAATCGAGATGACCCCTATCCATTTCGTAAAATTAAAGTACACATGGGAGATAATCTTCATATTAAAAAAAAAGAAAGAAAAAAGAGGGCTAGATCGCGCACAACTACTCACGGCGAAGATGCGCAAAGAAATCTAGCAACTATTACAATACAGAAATTGGAGATAGTTCTATTAAGCTTTGACATTTCAATTAGTGAACTTAGACAATACGTACCATTGGTGATGATCGAGTTCCACTACACAAGCCGAAGCTGGCAAGCGACTCTGGGTGATCTATTCCAAATTTGCTTCGATCCTCGGTAAGCTTATTCTTGTGCAGGGACATCAGAAGAGTCTGGTTCATCAAAGGCATTTAAAATCATTATTGCGGTAGTATTATGGTATCGCTGCAATGCAGGTGTCGGGAGTTAACCTGTTTGTTCGTGATAAAGAATCGAGAAAATATAGTTCAACATAAATCAATGGATTGAAGCCACAATCCTAATAAATAAAATAAAATAACTTGAGTAACGAAACAAAAGTATTTTTACGACTAGCAGTTCACCAGTGCTTACAAGTTGAGGTCGATGGGCAGTCGACTTCGACCTGAGAAGACAGAACTCCATTGTGGCAGCGTTGAAGGAGTGCCCTCCCACAGTGTAAGCTGCCTATAGATTTCAATACACAACTCAGCTACACAAAAAAATGTTCCTTTCAGCAATCTAGTAGATTATGTATTGGAGGCACGTTATCTACCAAATTTCAATAGAGTCAGCAAATATTGAATAAAAGTGACAGTACGTACACATACCTTTTGAAGCAATGCGAAGAATTTAAGGTCACTCTTCGGAATGCCATATGCCAGATATGCCTGCAGCGTTTGAGCGTTTTGAATTTAGTTTCAAAAAACGGAGAACCAAAGAATGCAGATGCATCTACAACTAAAAAATCGAATACAGAGATGCCCCAGACGCCCATTATCTATACCCAAATAAGCATACAGAAAATAAAACTAGGTCCGGCAGACTAGAGAATTCAATATTTGGCAAGCATTCCATCATGTCAAAGACTTACGTGCATTAAAAGAGCATTGTACAAGTTGATCCAAAAGGCAAGCTTTTCTTCATGCTTCAAATTCGAAGGATCCAGTCTTGATAATTGCTCCACTAATATCCTGCAAATTTAACTTGAATTATACTCGCGAAAATGCACACTCTCAGGTAACTGCTGCTTTGTCAAAGGTGGTCTGTAGACAATGCAGGTGAATTTAACGTATAATATACAACAACTTCCAAACCGAAAGAAATTCGAAACCTGTCAGCAAACAATGTGTAGATAATTGCCACTCACTTGAAACTACCTAAAGCTTGTGCAGCAAACTCAAGCTGATCCTTGCCGACGGAGAGCCAAGAAACCTCCAACACATGAGCGTAAGGGCCGATGTCTGCCCATGGAATCTTACCCCTTGATTTGAAGGGGTCAGGAGAGTCTTCATTGCCTAAAACTCCCTTACTACGAAGATCCACCAGAGGACTTCTATTCACTGACAATATAGAAGATTCAGTGACTAAGGAGGCAGACGAATTCGTAGTTGCTGTTAGGGGTGAAGTGGAAGTTTGAGTTTTGCTCGATGATAAGGATTCTTGTTTCGAGTTGTTCGAGTCAGCCAAATGGCGGTATATACTGATCATGCATCGAACCATTTGTTCTGAAAGTTCATTGGGCGAATAAGACGTTGAAGCGAGATCGTAATCATTGTCCATTATAGTACTATTTTGCGAGTCATACTCATCCCGATTCACTGCTCTAGCATCCACTGGTGACCATATTGAAGATAGAAGGGTGCTAGATTTCACCTGCAAGGAAACGACAAAGAGTCAGGTTTATCACTTCTTAAAACTATCCTTATTTGGCAATTAATTTTAAGCAACGATGTACGAAAATCAGGGAACAGAGGAGTGTCTACTTAATGTTCTTTCAAATATAATGCAGATTGACAATTCAAATCTCCCTCAAACATGAATAAGAACCACATGACGGTGCGTATTCACAGTACCGATGAGAAGCTAGACGTCCGAGAGGAGCCAAACGACTTCACTCTTTTAGGGTTCTTATCCACTGTTCCTTGTCGTTGAAATTCACGAACGTTCGTTGCGTCATTCCGGTACTTCGTTCTTTGCTGCATGACAAGTATCTTGGAGATTTAGGAACCAAACAGGCCTGGCAAAATCTCAAAAAAAAAACATCCCAATACACAATCCGTTCAACAACAACAATACATTTTATGCTGCGTACATAAAAATAGCACAGAACATTTATTACTTAATGATGCAAGGCAGCAATAAAAACACAGAAGTAAGCCTTAAAAAAATATCCTAACCTCGTCAATTGAATCAGCTTCGGCCAATTGCGCCCAAGGCTGTTCCTCTAACACCATGCTGTGAGGAATGGACTCGCTCTCTGGCCAAGGATGGTCGTCCTTGGAAGTAAAGCTCGATGGTTTTGGCTTGGTTGCCAGCATTGCCATTGTTGGAATCTCGTCTTCTAATTCTCTCGACAAAGACAAGGGCTTTACAGTAGAAGGTTTCCACAGAACCTCAGCTACAGGAAGGAAAAACTTATCATCATCCTCAGCAAGATCAGCCAGATCTGGGGAATGTGGCCGTAGAGTTTTAGCAATAAAAGCAGGAGAAAAACAATGAGGATCATCATCGTCACCAACACAGGCAACCGGTACAAGACTTGGATCTAGGTAGCAATCTTGAGGAGAGCCACAGTACGCTTCAGCAAATGTGGCCTGTGGTTGATGCTCGTTAAGAGGTATCCAATGCTCTTCCTGCTCCAGAGGGTTCGGTTCCCAAAATGATCCAAGTCGTTGACTCTGTATGTCATTAGCTGTGTTACATTCATGATGTATGCCCGGGGGTGATATGGTTACATAGTCGTCTTCAGGAGACTCTGGAATCGTTAAATGAAGATCTTGCCGCAGTATGAGAGCCCGTTGCTCCTATCAAGCACAGCGAAAAAGAACATAAGATGACATCTACTCACTAGAGAACCACTTCGGATTTCGGTTGTACACGGAAACACTACCAAAGGCAAACAAAACATCTGGTAAAATCTAAAACACAGGAAATAGGCGGGATATTTACAACTACAGAACAATGCTAAACGTGTGGGATTCATCGGTTAATAGGAATTCCATACAGATAATGTATGTTTCTCCACATTGAATGACTGACAACTGAAAGATGAAACCATTTCAAAACACACCTTCCAACTTTTTTGAGGTAGTTGAAACTGAGACTTTTGCCTAGGAGACGTACAAGACTGAAGACCAGTCATCTCCTCAAGCGTTGAAGTTGAAACTGGCTTCAACTGCTGCTCCTGAGACGAGGAAGATATGCTAGGTAGACTATCACTGTGATTATCTCCAAAATTTGCGTTAGAATCCAAAGAGGCGGAGTACAAATTAGAGCGCTCTGAGCTCAAGGGTGCACTTCCTGCTGAAGAATGCCTAAGTTCAAATATTTCCCTCTCTATGCGAGCATGTCCTACTTCATTCTGTAAAACTGAGGTTTGCTCCTCTAATTTCAAAACCGCCACCTCCAACAGTGTGATATTGGCCAAGAGTTCCCGAGCCTGCACCATGTAGGGTGCAGAGTTACAAGTCGTTTCAAAATATGATATCAAGTCGGATATTTGGAACACAACGTTGTCTACAATAGAAATAAACTAATTGCTCACATGACCGAAATTCAAGACTCACAGAAAGTGGTAGATGACATGGAAATTTGTTCAAAGTTCCTGACGTAGGTTCCAATGCGCTTTCCAACACCGCACGTAGCTCAAGTTCCTCCGCCAACTGTTTCTGTAATGACAAGACCTGCAAATACTAATTTCATTTAATATCCGACAAACAAAATATAGTGAAATTGAGGTACATCAAGGACCACTACAAAATTTCATTTCTTCAAAATGCGTAAAACATTATACCACGTCACTTACTTCCTCTTCAAGTTCAGACAGTTGAACCAGACGCTCGAAAGTCTTGCAGTTTGATAACTCATTCTGATCCTTGTAGCTGCTTGTCTATTGCATTGAAGTATAGTGAACGTTAGATTAAATATATCCAATGTATTCTTAAAACAAATCCTATACTCGCTAACCACTCAACTGCTGTGGCAAAATAAAGATCAAAGAAAAACAATCTTGAAGCATCATACGAAGAGAATCTGTACGTACTCCCACCTCGCTTTCATTAGATATGCCATTTGATTGCTTTTGGTTCAAACATACTTTCAAGGCAAGCGACTGCCAAGCTTTCTGTTGTTTGCGATCCTGCTTGAAACTTGTGCTGCATGAAGGAAAATATTTTTTAAAATATAAATATAATTAACAAAAAAAATGGCATCCTAACAAACCACTATTTTGTTTCCCTAATAGTTCATTCAGTAAGAAGTAAATAGACCACAAAGTTGAACGCATAGACGGTTCTGAGCTCTATTTAAACTGTGTACGGAGAATAACAATTTTTAAGTGCTCAAGATTACAGAGGTGTGAGAGCGAGAAAACAAGTCTGACCTAAATGAATCCCAACTCCTAGAACGATAAGACATGAAGGCATCAAGTTTTTTTCGATGCAGGTGACAAAGAAAATAAGTATCCGACTTTGATCTCATTCACAATTTGAAGGAAAAGAATAAAAATATAGTAGGAGAACTTACCTCTTTTCTTCAACATTGTGGTCCCCACTAGGCTCAGAATCCTGAGTCTCAGCCCTCTCAAAGCTCCCCTGCAATCATAATGTAACTCATTATTCTGTAAGCAATTTAACCTGACACATAATAACCAGCTGCACCTAAGTGTATTAGACCTGGTGAAACGGCCATAGAAAAATTCGTGCTTATCCTCTTGGTCGCCCCTAAAGACTTCACTCACCAGTTTGTAATTTGACGCCCACTTTGGATGGTTTCCATCATTCTAAGTACACAAACTTTGAATCAATCATACTTAAGCCAGTGTGTATGTATTCATTGGTTCGAACAGTAGAATCTATCATGGAAATAGAGGCTTGACTACATTAATTCACGATTGGCACACTTACCCAACTCCCTAGGCTAGATTTCACGCGTCGTCTCGGTTGCCCAATTTTGTCCGCTTTAGCATTCCTCTGAATGAAACAAGCGACCAAGTTAAAAACCAAACTCGCAGTTTCTTCTTCAAATTGAAGACCCATAAGTCCAGCACGATTGACGAAACTGCTCGAGGAAGCTGGAAGGAATCCTTTAACTAAATACCCTGGGGATAAAAACACATCAAACCAGGGAGAAAAGAGGCACATCACTTTATCCAGTTCACACACACAAATCTACGAACCTTTGAAGTTTTATACAAGCTAGAGCACACATTGAAGGCATCGTACAAGGAGGAACACTTGCTCGAAATTTAAGACCAAGTCGCTTCTGGTCTCGGACAAGCGCAATAAAGGGGCAATTCCGCACTCACAATAAGATCATCAACCATCAAGGATAATGATGCGGACAGCATTCAAAACAAGACACACAGCTAAAGAAACCAACAGACGAGGATTACGCTGAACCAGGTCAACAAAATGACCTCTGTTATTCTATTTTCGCATGCTCCATGTTCATAGTAATATAAGCACTCACGAAAAATTCATTACTTTTTCGGGAACAGGAAATTTCTCGAATTCTAGAGAGATGAGGGACTTGAGTTGGACCCAAGCCTTGCTTTGCGTCTATGAAAAGTAATATTTAATCTACAAGCTTCTTTCTGCATCTGAAAGAAGATGCAGAATAGCGATGCATCCTTACAAGATTACACCAGTAGTTAAAAATACGAACTGCTTAAAATACAGAGAAACCCTTTGCGGCTTGCTGAAAGATGTAAGTAGAGAGAGGGAGAGAGACACATACACGCACGCTAAGAACCTGTTTTCTCGACTGAGGAGAAAAATGAGGTGTGAACTAGGAATAAAATATGCAGAACGTTGTCTTTACCTCTTGCTTACAGGGATGTACAGAGAAGGAAGAAGTGCTAACATTGTCCCTTGACGATGGAGAAGACCCTCCGTACGACGTGGAAGCAGGTGAAGAACGCTCCATCTCACTACTATTGCAGCAGCTTTCCCTCTGTTTCGCCCTGAACTCAATTGGTTCAATCGTACCCATTCTGGATCCTTCTTTGTTCGTCTTTGAGCTCTGTCATTAGAGACACAGTTAACCTCTTGTACTCTTTGAAGTCATCTTCATGCCAGTTCCAAGCGTCTTCTTTTCTTCTTCTTTTTGAAGATCTCCTTTTCTCGACACTCCTCGCTTAGCTACCTGAAACGGATTACACTGATCTCTCTTGTGGGTCTAGGACTTCAAGCATGGGAGGGCGGGAGATTGTACCAGTACTGTCATTGTGGGGACAGACAGATATAGTCCTGATGTAGGAGTGCATGAATCAAATAGGGAGAGTCTTGTTAACTCAAAGACTCCCCCTACATGTATCAGGCGTCCTCAATCCTAAGTACACCGACCGTATTGACAAGAACTTCACTTTCTGTGGAGGTAGTTCTCCCTCCAACAGCAGCATTGAGACAGTACAGTACTCTGAGCTGAAGAAATAGCCTCAGTACGACCAGTCTCCAAACTCGGCAAAGTCGCTTCAACTCGTTTACTCTGGAAATGATATGTCAGAAGATACTGGGACTAATCGATCGACACATGAAAGACCTAAGCACGAGAAGATCTTAAGTGTGATAAACAGATCGACAATGTAAGGTCTCCTCCACTTGAAATTCGGAATAAAAGTGGAAAATGCTCGAGCCACATGCTGTCTCCTGTCCAGGCCAAGAGGAGTATTCACCATGTCCATCTAGCTAATGCCTCGACTGTTCCTTGAAGAGGCTTCACAAGCATCTGTTTCCTCGTCGAGCTCGCAAGAGTTGATGACAAAGCAGCTTGCCACCACATCAGACCTGAAAACTTGTTCAACGCAGTGGCTGCGTCTGCTCTCCGATTACACGCAAGCCAAATCATAGTCGAGAACCTCAACTTCACATGCCATCCTCTACAGCCTAGCTTAGTATTCTCGTCCAAATTTCGACACAGACAACGCGGCCTGCTCAAGACTGGATTAGTCACGGTGCAGCGCGGAGTCACAAGAAAAGAGTGCCCCGACTTGCACTCAGCAGATTCATTCCACCCTGATCGAGAATGAGCTTCACAACACAAGCAGAATAAACCTCCCCGAGGATAGACCGCCTCTGCGATCGAAATCTGAACAATCAATCTCTCTACTCGCATTCTCTGAAAACCCAAAAAAACCAAAAACCAAGCTCAGCTCCCACTCTCTCAATTCCACCACATTTTGTCCGTTCACTGGTTGCATCTCACTCCCACTCTCTACAAAAACCAAGTTCAATCGCCATACGCGTCACAAGTCAATTCTCTGTAATTTAATTATCATCACACACACCCGCGAGGCTACTCCTCCTATATCACATCTCCAATACCTGCTCTTCTCTCAAAAACCGTCTACACATCCAAACGGGTTCGCCTGTCGTCCATGACTGCGCCTCCACCTTCTCCTCTCCCTGTCGCACCAAAATTCTACCCTACCGCCCCGCAACTCATGAGACACACCAAACACATCCGCTCCTCATGAATCAAATCAACCACGCTCGTCACAACGATCGCATCCAGTGTCAGCCCAAAATCAGGTGGCATGGTCCGTCATCTCAACAGGACCAGTGTAATTTTCGCAAAAAAAACACACACACACCTTCCAACGACTTTCACCCCCCGCTTTATTCGTCGTCATCAGCGCCCTGCGCTTTCGCTCCCCACGCCATTCCTCTCACTCAACGAACAAAACCGGCGACCAACAGCCTTGAATGATATTCATCAAGCAAAGCCCTGCCATAAGTCTTTTCGCTCACGTGCTGCTTGCTTGTTGTGAGCAGACGCGACTCTCGCCAAAATCAACGCCATCGCTCACTCGTCCTCCGTCGCCGTCTCCAACAGAAGTCGCAGCAGCACACCACTCCTTGTCTCTCCTCTTCACTTCTTCACGAACGACGCCGACGACGACGTCGACGAGGACCACTAGGACGATATCCGGCGGCACAGGCAACGAAGAGTCAATGAAAAGTCAACCCACCATTTCCGGCCCAGCTTCCGTCTGCCCTATCTTTAGCGTCTACATTCGATGCTAATTTTTCGTTCGCTAGCTTTATTATCGTCCCGAATAACAACTCTTTCGACAAATAAGCCAACCAAACTGCTAAAAATGACGTGGGGCCCTCTTGTGCGGTGTGAACGGAGATTGCATGCCGGGAGCGCTTTGGGAACGAGACTCGTTCGAGAGGTTCCCAAACTGACATTTTAGAGCCTAACTATATTTGGATACCTCAGAGAGTGTGACCTGGGCAACTTTTAGGGTTCCTTATTCTAAAATCAAACAAACATTTTTGAAAAAATAAATAAATAGATAAAACATCACTTGATTTTTGCAATGCATGCACATAATTGTGCGTTCAAATAAGTTCAAAATATTGCATTAAATGCACCTACTCCAGGGTTAAATTTACAATAACATGCATAATTGCCTTTTTAATCTCAATGCGTTTACAATGCCCCCTAGTATTCATGATGTCCTTCATTTGATACCTTCCTAGTTATTTAATAGGGTAGGTCATTTATAGTTCTTGGATTATGGGTTAGTTTTTAGAATTTATGTAACTTCTAAAAATGTCATTCTCATTATGTGTATCACATAATTGTTTTCTATTTTGTTTCGGGGACACATGAAATAGTAACGTACTCTAAATCATACACTCAATCCATCGTTCTTTCAATTGTACTAAAATTCTGCTTGTCTTTGACTTGTTATTGTAGACCTCAATGTAGGCGTTACAAAAATAAGTAAGTGTGGTAAAAACACTCTTAAATGTTCTTCATTAATAATTAATAATTGAAATTATTCTCATTTTGGAATATATTTACGTATACGGAGACTCTTTGTTGCAACAAACTGTTCAAATTTCTTTAGTTGTATGTCACTGATGCTAGGTTAAATTTCCCATGTTAACATGCTATTGTCGCAGTCTTGGGGCAATCTTTGAGTATAAATTAACATTTTCGACAAAAACAATTACACTTTTATCACAGTTTACAACTTTGTCTCAGCAAACAATGTTACATTTTATTCTCATTTTAAAAATAAAAATAAAAAATGGTTTTTTTAATTGACGTTGCTTACCAATTGCAAGTCTATAAATGCCTTCTTAATGGATACATGCATTACAGACAGAAAAAAGGAAACGTTTTATTAATGACAATAATGCTGTAGTTTAAAGATCAGGAGCATATTCACAAGCATAAAAGCATCCCCCTTTTTACAGAAAAAAACTAACAGGTATGGTCTATGAATAAATAACATAATTTTGATGCAACATTAACAAATCCACACAATAAGCAGTGTAATATTTTGGTAAAGACATGCCCACTGTACATTCTACATCTTGATCTGCATTTATTAGAAATATGGCATTAAGTGAAGCAACAGAAATGCATCTAATGTTCAATTTGAAGATTTGCAATCGTAACTTTCACACTTAGTATGCTGGATACACTTGTAAAATATAATGAATACATTACTCTTTTGCATAATATGTATATTAAAAGGATATTAAAACACCATTTTTCTATTCATTAAGTACCTCTAGTTACAAGAGCAATCTTTCAAATTTTGTTCAGAAGAGATGATTATAATTTAAACTCAAATCAGTTTCTAACTAAAGCATACTATCTGAGTTCCATGAGCATTTTTTTTACTTCCATTTCTATATTTTTACGTTCCCAAATTTGTCCCAAAACACACTTGCTGTGTGAAAGTTCATGAGATCAAAGAAGTGAACCCAGATGTGATAATACCATAGTGTTTAACAAATATAGAAGTTTCTTCAGAATCTGGCATCTCTTTCCTTTACCGAACAAAAGCACTTAATTAGGAAACTACAGAACACAAGTGAATGAGAGAATGAGCCAAATGCACCATAATCTAAGCAGATCTGCATCTCAGATCTGAAGAGTGCAGGGCACAAACCCTAAACACAGGTCCATTTTTTTTATTATCTCAATTGAGAATGTTTATTTTCTGACAGTAGACAACTATGCATATCTTCAAAGTATTGTAGTTCTGCACAAGCTCATAGTTGGATGACCAATATCTGCTTAACAAGGTTACATAAAAATGCATATATATTTGTTCAAACAATTTGCTGCACTGCTGACAGAAGACTAGAAAAAAACAATAGTATACACTTTGTACAAAAATCTGGGCAGATAACTTGATTTTTTGTGAGCTTGCTTTCTTAGGTGTAGAGGCAATAAGTGAGAGAGCTAGATTGAATAAGTGAGTACAAGAAGAAAGGGCTAGTTTTAATTTAAATCAAAAATTTTACCAGCAAGTTAACAATTAAAACAAGGGGTTGTTGAACTTTATACAGAAACATGATCCAAACACAAAATTCAAGGCCCCTTTGCAGCAATTCAGTTCAACTTGTTTTCAGCTTTAGTCACTAGAAACAAGAAACACCCACCCAGTGAATGATTCGTTCCTAGGACAAAAAACACAACAGGTAAGGAACTTATGATCATGTGAAGAACATAAACTCCTCCTGTCACATTGTGAATCAAAATTAGGGTTGATGTGAAGGAGTCAAGGCCCAAAATACCCCTATTCCTCTCATTATTGGCATAGAGATCTCAGGATTTGACACTGCAATCTTTCACACTACAAGTCAGGGTCAAGCTTCAAAAAACCCATCAGACTTTAACCCATCACAGACAGAGTTTTTTTCTTTTTTTCTTTCCCCCCCCGATAATACTGAATTTCCTCTATAGCCAGTTTTTTTCCAATCCTTTCGGGCCACCTTCTAAAAACAAGCTAAAGTCAACTCCTCTTACACCCTAAAAGCATGAGTTTTGCTTCTGTTGGGGCCACCGCAAAAGTCAACCTATATTCTACCTCCAAAGCATGAAATCTGCTTAGCATAGGCACACCTCCCATCCATCCAACAGTGCTGGTTTTCATCCATTAATCAATTTATTCATCCAATGGTGGACAGTGCATAGGGAGAATGTAGTGAATAAATGAGAATGGAGGAGCTCCCAATCGTATCAATGTACGTATGCATTTTAATTGTATTGTATTGTACGTATTTTATCTGCAGCTTTGTGGGTCATTTTCTTCTTATTTTGCATTGTTTTAGGGTTTCTTTTCTTCTCGTGGCGTGCTAGTGAGAGCGGAGGGGGGGGGGACCCTTGGGAACAGTGTATTCAGCTGGGCTATTTATCAACTCAGTACCTGAAGTTTTGAAGGCCAAGTCTGTTCCCATTCATTGCATGTATGTTGGTGTACAAAAGTGTATAATTAGAATATTAATAGTGTTTGAATCCAATACAATACTGAAGCTCCTTTTTTTCAATTCTGTTGAGAAGAATTTTCAATTCTCTTGAACAATCACAACAAAATTAAATCCAAAAGTATCATTATCCTCATTTGCATTTATCAATAATTAGTTTGAAAGGTGTATTTGGCTTCACATGAGTTTCATGTGAAATTTGGATTAAATTTCTGAGAACAACCATCCCTACATTTCTGCACATTTGAGCTTGTGAGAATATAAGCCAGGTCAATTTATCCCACAATCCAGTGGATGGTTGTAAGATCCTCCCACCAAACTTAATAAAAATAATAATAAAACTACACATGTTTTAAAACATTTTTTGAATTTTATTTCTGTGCTCTACAATACAACTTGATTAGTAATGTTTGGCATCCTAATCAATCATTCATATATATATATATATATATATAAATATATTGTTTCTTCATTGTGGTTTTGAAATATGCATGAAATTGAAAATTTGAAAATAAGATGTCATCAATATAAAACATTATGTATATAATAAGAATGTATATAATAAACCAGTTTTATTCTATCATTATTTAAACATATGAACTCGTGTATTTTTTTACAAAAAGAATGTATGTAAATGTATAAGTGTGTATGTATACGCAAGATAGAAGTTTAAGAATGTTTAACATCTACCAAATGTTTTAATTAACCATCCATACACCATCTTTTATGTTTTCAGGTGTGTTGCAATAAAATAGATTAATTTTAAAAATTGAAGTTAGGAAGAATCGTTAGTTTAGACTGAAAACTAGTTGTATTGTACTTCAATATTGAAATACAAGAACAAAATGGAATGTATGAAGCAATAAAATAACCAAATATGAATGTATGTATGGCTACATATATATAATTCATTCAAAAATATTATACAAATTTGTTACTATACAATAATTTTTATCAAATAGAGGCATTTTTTTGTCAGGATTAAAACGAATTACCCAAAAGAATTATTTTAAAAAATAGAAAATGATAAATTTCATTATATTAATTCAAACCCTATGATAATAATAAGAATAATAGTAATGATAATAAAAGTTTCATTGAACAAGTTCTGTAGGAAACACTTTTGGCAAACCTAAAGCACCTTCAATTGCATCCTCAAACGACATTCCTTTACATTCCTAACAAAATTTTAACATTGTTAAAATCCAAAATCAGCAAATTTCTCACTATTTTCGAAACTTTCTCCGAGGTAAAAAATTGATACGTTTTAGAAATAGTGGTTGAATCTAAATGCCAGCATGAGCTTTGAGTTTCAAGTAGTCACCAAATTGTATAATTCTACCTGTATAATCCAACTATTCTAAGATCTAAACAATTGCTCAGACAAACAAAAACTTAGTTTTAGGTGTTAAAGTCGTGTATTAGAATAGTTTATGAAGTTTTCCTTTCATGGATAATAATTCAAGACTAAAAACCTATACTGGCATTCATAATCTAATCTAAAAGTTTTGGTTCGTTGACTAATTCTGTATGAACAAACCCATAATTTAGATTGAAACAGATCACTGTGGGTTAAAATGAAAACAGTATCTTGGAGGTGGAAAGAAGTCACATAAAATGATCCAAGTGTGGATCTTGTGAATTTGTTCATGACCTCTTGCAAGCTAAAAAAATAAAGAAAAGGAAAAAAATGAACAAATATATTATGATATCTCAAATATTTACTTATTTTTATTGCAGTTGTTTTGTAAATTTCAATTTCTTTGAATATGCCATGGTTAAGAAGTTATAAAAACTATCATAAAATTTGAACCAGTGATATCCTTATACCTCTGTGTGTATTTCAAAACAGCACCAACATATTCTTGTGATTCTATCACATGGGTGAGAAATTTAAATGCCCAACTATTAAACTTACTAGCTTTTAAAAGAATATAAAAACAATATTTTATACATGCATACACACAAACCTAACTAGAAATGAATATCTCTTATATAAAACAGCTCAAGAAATAAACCAAAGGAGACAAAAGCCATCTCTAATTGGCTGTATATCTCATTGTTTTCATCAAAAGTGAAGCAATAACTTGGTTTTTGATCAATCAAAGATCAAATTTGCATGTTGTTGTCGATTGCCAAAAATAGCACCACAAGATCACTGGGTTGTAATTTTCAGTAAATTTGTTTCAATAAATATTTTTTGTGGTCAACATGGGTTTCCACTACTATATATCTATATATATCTATATATATATATATTCATTAATTCATTATTGTAGTCTCTATTGTTGTTGTGGTGGTGCATAATTCCATCACTCTAGACCAACCATCTTAAATTTTACTATGAACCCTGACCCAATAAATGTCTTAAGCATAGTGGTAGAGGGCGATTGGGTTTTGAGTAGACCACTGAATTCTTTTCACATGAAAAATGTGAATAATGGGTGTGTGGGTTTAAGATTGATACCAGATGTTAAGATTGGATGTGCTTTGCTTTCTTGCGATTGATTCCCTTTGAAAAATAAACAAGTCAGTGAGAAATAGTAAGAAGTTGTTTTAAAACTTAGTCATATAAAAACTAAATAAAGCAAATAATGACACAACATTCTTGGACGAAATTAATAATTGCACCTTTCCCTGAAATTTATGGAATGTCTTTTAGCTCTCAGATGAAACATAATACTTTACTTCTCTTCTAAATATGTACTGGGATCGTCCTATTGAATTTAGATGTCAAACAATTTATTCAGACTTTTGGGGTGATTGTCTTTTTTGGAATGTTTTCTGTTTCATCAACACAGAGTATATTTAGACATGAACAATTTTTAAATACAGTTCAAATACGCAAACATAACAGAGATCAGAATTGTTTGAATTTGAAAATGAAAGCAAAAACTGTTGTGCAATACTTGACACGTGTACTCATTGCAACTACAATTTTTTAAAATTTGTTTATATATACATATATATATATATATATATATATATATATATATACTGTGTGTATACATAGATTCAAGCAGTTTTGAACTTAATTAGAAAAATGACACAACTTAATATTAGATTACTGTAAGCACAGCCTGCAACTTTTTGAAAGAAGGAGTGGATATTGAAATCACAGTTAATGTGAATGTCTATTTTTATATTATGGTGATTTTTATTTTAAATTGTAATTTACTCCCATTTATTTTTTAGCTCGTTATTTTATCTACATAGTACTAGCATACCAAAGTCTAACAAAAGATAATCTTTGTATTTTGGACATATATATATATATATATATATATATATATAATTTGCAAGCATATATATTTATATACGACTACTTGTTTTAAACAACATAAATACTGAATTTAAACCTCTTTCTATTTCTTGTTGAATCAGTGCCTTTGTCTACAAAAGATATTTATTGCCAATTACAATTGGGAGCTCCATTCCCAATGACCTTGTAGTGCTACTCTTGGCAATGTGCAACAACAACATGCAAATTTTGATCTTTGATTGATCAAAAGTTGAGTTATTGCTTTACTTTTGCTTCACTTTTGATGAAAACATTGTGATTGCAACCAATCGGAGATGGTTTTTGTCTCCTTTGGTTTGTCCCATTGGTTTATCCTCTTGAGCTGTTTTATATATATATATATATATATATATATAGTTAAATATATATATATATATATAGTTAAATATATATATATATATATATATATATATATATATCAAACAGTTATATATATTTAACTATTATAAAATTTCTTTCAGTTAGAATTCAAACTTCATTCCTTTTCAACTGTTTATCCTTCTCTCGTACCATTAATTCATCCACATAAATACAAAATAAATAAATAGAATTTACATATCCAGGCGATTTAAATCCACCCAAGTTCGAATGAAATTATCATCATTGGTAAGCGTGCGCAATCAGCGAAGGTTCATACATTGTCCTTGAATTTTACAGGTCCCGGGAGAACGTCCACCGCCGTACTCTACACAGCACGCCAAACGGCCCCTCTAAAGAGGCCTGTCACTCCCACTGCGACGACGCGCAGTCGCCTTCCCAAACCGAGACTCTTGCCGATACCGCCATTTTGTGATTTAAATTCAGACCACAGTGCCGCGCATTGTGTTCGAGAGCTCTGATTGTAAGTTCATGTTGTGTTTTTAGACCACACGCATTTCATTACACTGTCACGAGAGCTATGGCGGGCTCAGGCCTTGTGTTGCTGTTTAACGGGGATTGCGAACGCTGGCCTTAGAGCTTAATATCCTGGTATTTGTTTTCCCTTCGGAAAGTCGACGCGATTCTCACGAAGAGTTGGTCTTATTGCTGCGCATCGTTCAATAGCTTGAGCTGCAGAGGACTGCTAGGACGTGAACCGGCCTTTCTTGCCATGGTCGGCATGGCTAGCACGTGTTTCTGCACCGGGTTTACTGAATTTATGGAACTCGTGGATAGGTTGCAGCCCGTGCAGCACAACACGAGTTGAGGTTTAGGTCTGTTTTCTTAGATTTTTTGTTGCAAGTACGAACTTAAGCTTGTATTATGAATGCCTTAGCCTAACCTTGTGGTGATGCATTGCAGCCTCTGTTGTCGCTCCAGATATACTGCTCTGCATGTTGTTGGCTCTTGCCGCTAATTCTGCCAAACTTAATGTGCGATTTAGGTTTTCTTGTGGTCATATTGCAGAATACTGCAGTTATATGATTTTCGAGCTTCTGTCTAGTTTTTTCAGTACTATAAATCTTAAATTGATGTGCAAAATGTCATATCTAAGTTTCCAAGCAGCTCATTCAATTCTGTGTATTCAAGGTCAAGTGAGAGCAATGCGCGAGGGCTTTCTGTCCCGTAGCCAATGGCCTTCAGGTATTTTGGTTTCCTCTCGTGATCACTTTAACATGTCTGCGAGCAATGGCAACTTCTGCACGTTTGAGAATGTTGCATTTGAATGATGCATAGGAAATTTTATGTTGGAATTAAATTTATGATAAGCATCGTAATGAATAAGAGTTTGTCATGAAACCTTGTTTCTTAGCATGTTTGATACTGAGTTCTGCTCAGCTTACTCTCACGTTAATTTGTGAGCCGTCATTCAACTTAAATATGAACAGGAATTAGATACGATCTTTGGAAACCACATTTCCTTATGAGTATGAGGATCTTGCTCCTCAATCCTGAATCCATGGAGGAGAAGTTGCAAGTGACACGCATGTGTGTTTCATAAGATAAATTGTGGATAAGCGGAAGCATATGCTTGACCAGTACCTCTCAGAAGCGAATTTGCGAAGAAACTGGGAGATATTCGACCGGTAAAGATAACTTCCAGAACAAAGGTTGGAGCGAACTCAGATTTTTAGACAAAACTGTTATGGGGTGGAATGAGTCAAGCTCACTGGGTAAACAGACGTTGATGTAATTTCAAAATGCAGGAACAGAAGATTGTCGCATTGATCGATCCAATACTTGACTTCAGCTCCAGACTTGGATTATGAAGCCATCCAAGGCTTATTGCCCGTGACAGGGGTATTGACAACCACACCTAACAGAGAATACAACTTGTGCGTCCCGACAATTAAGAGAACCCCAAATAAATACACACCAAAAGAGGTGCTAGTTTCTGTAAATCTACAAGAGAGCAATTAAGAATGAGACTGCGGAAACAAGCAGCATAGTGCTCACAATATTTGTCAAAACATGAGCAGCACCGTTTCCTGTACCAGCGGGACTGGCCGTCCTGGGCGTTGTAGGCGTTGTGATAAGACCTGGAGCTGGTGAAGGATTTGTAGCCAGTGGCGCCGGCGCTGCTTCAGGTGGCACAACACCCTTGTTGTATTTAGCTGTGTCCATCACAGCACTTATTCCATGAACGGCTATTTGGCTATCGACATAGAGATCCGGGTCCGAGATGGCTACGTTGTCTAGTCTCAGTCCGCTGGTGCCTGTACTGGTGATGAGGATAACCACATCTGGTACAGAAGTTTTAATGGTGGAATTTAGAGGGAGTGTCGACAGCTGGTTGTAGTTGTATACTGAGGTTGCAACGTGATAGTCTAATGTGGTCATCAAGAGTTTGGATGAGTTCAAGTTGAGGCCGCTGAAGGCTCCATCATCAGGAGCAAATAGGGTAACTCCTTCCTTGATAATACTGCTGGCCTCACCGAGGCTGTCAAGAAGTCCCGAAATGGCGCCATAGTGGCCTGCCGCCCGCAACGCAGCAACAACTTTCTCGTGCAGCGTGAGAGGTTTCGGGGGTGGTGCTACTGGTGCTGGTGCAGGTGCTCCAATCAATGGTGCTGGAGCTGCGGCAATAGCTGCTTTCGTTGGCGAGTCATCTGCCAGCTCGGCCGAAACGAGAAGGGCGCAACAGACAATTGAAGCAAGGAGCACCCATGCGTTGGCTCCGGGTCGGAAGAAGTGACTACCGGCCATTATTTCGATGCACGATTAGCAGAGTCCTCTCAGCTTTTGCACTCTTGCTTGTTGCTCCAGAGTTTAGGCAGGCCGTTGATCATAGAATAGCTACATAAAATTTTATAAAATCCATTGCGCTGGGTCAGAGGCCTAACTGATTTCTTAACACTGCGAAATTCAGAGTCAGTTGAGATATGCTCAGAATGCTCAAGGTTTACTACTAACTCAATGCAAACCAGGAAGAATCAGCCAAGCAGAGTAAGTCATACGCCTTCGTTTCTTCTGTACGAAAGACCACGCATTGTAAGCAACTTCATATCCTCCAAGCTGCCAAGTAGCTTTTACGCGAAGTGAAATTGGCTGTAGGCGAGAAGTGTAAGGGGACGAGGATACAAACATCGGTCATATATGCGGCTTGGAGTACGCTTTGGGATCATTTGAATATTTCACTAGGTTTAAAATGGCACCATCTCACTATCATTCGAACGAACGAAACTAGTTCGAGGAACTATGAACTTCGAGGTTTCAGTAGACACAGAACAGTATTCTTGAATATCCGGCATGTTTCGACACATACTGAAGCGAAGTCATGAACCTTCACTAAAGAGTGAATGTACCGGAGATGAACCAAAACTGAGCAGACCAGGTAATGGATTCAACCCTCTAAACATAGAACATTGGTTTTCTGCCGCAGGTCTGAGAAAGCTGAGTTATTATTACCTGTGCGACCTGACAACCGTGAATAGGTCAGGTATTTGCATTTTTTTTATCTGCAGCGCCCCATAAGAAATTATCCGAAGGAAGTGTCACCACCAGGATTCTTATTCAAGTGATTCGATTCTTACAAATTGGGTAAACGATAAAACATGATGTGTTAATCTCTTTCATCGCGGGGTATTATGGGTGCTGGTGCCACACAGTAATCCACATGTCTGCCTAAAAGCGGCACCTTGAGGTAGTGGTGGTAGGATTTCTACGAGTTGTACGATTGCACCATTCTAAGTTCGAGGTATTTACTGAGTACGCAAGATTATAGACCAGTTGAAATCCAGAGACAAATCGAGGAACCAACGATGGAGCCTCACTACAGAAATCTAAACCAGAAAAATAACTTCTAACGCTGACAATCACTTGAAACTCCAGGAAGGTTCGTTTTCTATTTTTTTTTCCTTCGTATTTGCTCGCTCAAGTTCGTTTTTTTTTTTTTTTTTTTTTTTTTTTTTTCCCCTAACATTCTACTCATTTACGACGCCCACTCAAATACAGTGATTCTAATGTTGCAATGCCCACAGATTTTGGTGGTGTGAAAATGAATTTCTCATGCCTCTGCAAACATAGAATCAGGCTGAAAGAGTAGACTACTCTCAGAGGAAGGATAGAGATTGTGAAACTATTCATGCTCTTGTGAGTTGACTGCTGGTGAGCTCCCATGGAATGAGACTGATGTGAACTAGCGATTAATCCTCAAGTTCGGTGATGCTGTCTATTTCAGCTGAAAGAGACCATGTCAGCGGATCAAATGAAACAAACTGCGAACCACCTTTCGAGACTAGCGAGTTAGTGCAACCACAATAATGTGCGCATACTGAACCAGGCCGGAGGAGATAATCGAATCATAACTGCAACGAAGTACTAGCATAAAGTGCAATGCAATGCAATGCTTCTAGATTAGGGTGACATCATCGAATGGTGAAAGGAAATCAAAGAGAGTATCTGAAACTGAAGTCGAAGGGCAGCAGCTAGAGGGTTTCAGTGACAAGCTTGCTCGTGCCTTGAGGAGAGCTAGAAAACTAGTAACCTGCTTCACAAGAGAGATGCTGCAGCCTATTTCTTGGTATAATACACTCGTCCGTTTCACAAAGATAAAACTATCCAGAAACAGTTCAGCTCGCGAGAAATCCACAAACCATCACTGGAGCTGCAACAACAAGTGCCCAAGGAAACAGCGACGAGGTGCTCGGTGGGAGAAACTTACTCAGAATAGCAGGCGCTGCATGCTGTACAATGGTGGCCCTAGGGGAGGATGTGAAGATAAGCAGCGCTTTGTAGACTCATCAAGACCCGGGGCGAATCAACTCATCACGGAGGACTGCTTCAGTCTTGTAGACCAAATTAATAATAGTGAAATCTTGCAATACTTTATTTGCACATTTTCGTTCGATGACAAACTTGGATTCTGCTTTGTATCTGTGCATTGGGCTGAATGATTGACTTGCCACACGACAAGTGCGCGAAGTACATGATTTGGCCCAGCTCCTGCATAGTACTGCAATGTATTGCCCGGCATTGAATTGTTGGTGTTTTTTTCTGAGCCAATGACCCAGTTCTCGATTTCTTAGTTACCAAAATGTGTTGTGAGATAAACATTAAATGGTTGCATTCATGCTGTTCAGGAAATGAACTTCAAGTGAGGATAGCTTGAAGCAATTCAGAACGTTTTCCTCTTCACCAAATTTTGGTATGGGATCCACGGTTCTGAGTGGTATTCTGAACATCACCCAAACATGTGGGCCTACTCGTTTCCATCTCTCCTCACATCAACTTATGTACGCGACACCTACATTCACTATCGGCGTTCATTTCTGCTGTTAAAACAGGATGTGTAATGCATGGTTGGGGCAACACAGAAGGAACAAAAATCTATGTATGCACCCCGTCAGCAATGGAATCTCATCGAGCTATCAGTCTCCCACTTTCTCTCTACATATATTTATATATACATACATACGTCAACTGTATACTTTTTAGGCATGTGTACGAGGAACAATTAGTGTTGATGAATGCGTAGGTTATCCAAAAGCATGGTAGGGTAACATGTTGAGAGACTGTTTTTGTTGATGCAGCGAGAGAATACAATGACCAGGCGAAGCTTTCCTAGGTTGTACCAGGCAGTTTGTGGTCAATTAACTTCAACTGCTGCTCAGTGCCCTTCTAATTGCGATAACAACAATCCTCCCGAAGTGTGCATGTCAATAGTTGATAGTAACATCACAACCAAAAAAATTAAGCGTCCTCGCCCACCTGATCACATGAATACCAGTTAATGGTCTGGCAACGCAGTGGTGAGTGCAAAAAACACGATTTTTATTTATTTTATTTTATTTTATTTTATTTCTTCTCTCCACTAGAAATGGAGATAGAGAAGCTTCTGCGACTGGCAGTCGTGCTATTCGGGGCTTTGCTGGCATCAGCTCTGTTTCCACATGGTTGGATCTTATTGTGGGCCAGCGTTTGAACATGGCCAGTGTATTGACAGAAACAGCTTCAAGGGAGGGGACAAGATTAACTGCCTCACGAAATTATTGCTCCCGTTGTAGCTGAAAGCGAAAATGGTAAGGTAAACAGAGCATGTCCTTGCAGTGATAAAAACTTCCACCGAGTCTGGCATAACGTTCTTTAAAGAGGGATGGGATGGCTTTTGTTCATCACAGGAACTACTCACCGTCAAATCTTTACAACATCGAATTGACGAGTGTAATTTTCAGGTGAGTTTTACCATTCTAGATTGAAGTTGCTGCACTTTCTTTTTTCACATATATTCGGTCAATGTGAGACCAATCTCAAATTTTCGAGATCCACAATGTAGCAGTGTTTTATATCATTCTTAAGAGCATATTTTATAGCGCCATTTAATGAAAGTTCCGAATCATGCGAAGAAAATACTGAGCAATACTATCACTTGCTCAAGCTATTTGCAGAATTTTAAGGTCACAGAGGTAGTCGTTGTGTGCGCTTCACTCGTTCCAGTGGGGCTCAGACCATTGCTGCTTAAAAGTCGATCAACAAATTATGTGCTTGGAGCACACCTCCACTACACTGGGTGAATTCAGATCGAAGCTCCACTTTGAGGAGCTTGAAGTGACGTCTCTGGTAAACCTCGGTTTCTAAGAAGCTTGATTTGAAAGTTACTCTGCGACGCCCTCACAAAGGCCGTGATTATTCGGTGAGCACAATGGGTTGCTGAGTCATTCAGAATCAACGGCTGACAAGACCGGACTAGTCTGCTGGATACCCAGGCCCTCATTGTGCTCATGTCTTGACTGGCATGAGCACATGCTTTCCTGCGTGGAGTTGTCAGCCTTCATCGGTGGCCATCCGACACCAGATACCTGGAATTTACCACGAATCACTTTTGATTGAAGCGTCAACACGAGCCCACATCTTAGTCACAGGAGGCAAGTCGTGATTAGATTTATTTATAATTAGTTTGTTACAGTTGTGCATCTTGGGTGAGCATGTAGAGTTCGCTCATTCTCCACATTCAAATTTCTTCTGTACAGCTACGGGCAAATATTTATTCCATGATGTGCAGAACAAAGGTGGATCGATAGGTTGCAGTGAACGGCAACATCTTCGGAGAATCTCATCTCAGTTTGTGGAACAAAAAAGTGTTATTTCGAAGCCATCAATCCAGATTCAAACTTACAAATTATTCGTTAACATTATTGTTATTCTTTTTTGCATTGAGAGAAACCAAGTTAAATTTCCGAAAAAGCTTCAAGCTTTGTACGGGTGCAGCCAAAAACTGAAACAGACCTACTGGGTACTGGAAAATAAGGAACAAAGAATCTCGACAAGCTCTCCTCGAATTCAACATCCCCCTCCCCCCCGGACTCAGCCATTGGATGAAGGTTCCGGCAGTGAAGAGGAGATGTGGGGTTGTGACCAGGTGGTCCGGCCACAGCCAACTGGATTTTTCATTTCATCTCTCTCCAGCTCAAGTAACACCACCGACCCAACGCGCCTCTCAAATGCAAGCCTTTCAACCGCAGCAGCACCAATCCTCGACCACCCTTCTCGACGCTGCCATCTATGGCTTCCAATTAAGACTTCAGCGGACTCCTCCTTGCTTTCTGCTCTGTTACTCTCCGGTGTAATATCGCAACAATCGAACAGAAATTACAAAATGATTTTATCGTGTAGAAAGCTACCTAAATAACCAATTGATGCTTGTTCTATGACATCGATTCGCAAGATTGGGTTGGGTGACAATCGACCGCTTCACTTGTTGTTGGTGATCGAACAGTGTGTTTGCCGATTAGATTCCGATGTCTCTCTCTCTCTCTCTCTCTCTCTCTCTTTCACTTGCCTTTCATGACATTAGTTTAAACTAATGTCATGAAAGGCAAATGACATGCGTCCAGACTCTGGCTTGAAGCCTCAGCGAAGGTGGACCCACAATCGCGGTGTCTAGCATCGATCTGGAAGGTACGAGGTACAAAATCGTTGAGTCGGATGGGGGAGATTATCATCCACGATGGTTTATGAGCAACATGCCTCTCTGGATCCAGCCATGAGACTAGTGGGACCAAAGCCAGGCGCTGGAAATAATGCACCCCGCTTTTGAGTATGATGCTGGCCCCCAGCAGGACCTTTGGCGACGCCTCAATGAGCTACTTCCCATATCATCAAGCCCTTCTGTCAGCCGGCCCACCAATCATGAAGCCTCCGTAGAGAGTAGAGGAATGCGATCTTGTCCGAACAAGGGGCCACGGCACACAATCGCCGAGCTCTAGATCTTCTGAATCAGACCCCGTTCAATGCTTTCCGCACCTGTTGTGAGCTTCTCTCTTGCAGATCTCGAGTCCTCGCGGTAGGACACCGCGTCGTTGCTTCCAAAATCAGTCTGGAAAGCTTGGCCATGCCTTGGAATCTGTGCGTTGAATGCTGCTCCCCTCTTCTCTAGTTCTGTAACCCTCAAATCCAGTACGCACCATGCCCCGCTCCGTCGAGATTTTTTTCACAAAAACGATGCATTCGGAGGCAACTATGCGGTGTCGGTGGAGAAAGCAGAACCTTACACTGCGAGGTTCCGAGACCCATTCTGGCACGACTCAATTCATCTCTCGTGCTTCACAAATCCAGCAGAAAGATACACCCACACATTCAGAAATCTGCAATACATTTGGTGCGAAAGAGGTCGATTCTTTCGTCTAGAAAACCCCGTCATGATAGTGAAGGATTGTATGTTTTTACATGCGGTGTTGAAAAGGTGGATTTGAGTTTGAATATAATGCAAGATGGACGTGAGTGTTTTGTTTTGTTCTTTTGTTTTGTTGAGGAATAGTTGGTCTGTCATCGACTTTGTTGGATTCACTTTTTTGCACTGGTTTCTATTTTGCTTTAAAAAAATGATGAAATGTTCTGTTTTGTTTTGGAAAGAAATTTGTTTCGACAAAATTCAGATCGCAGAAAATTGTGCTGCACTTAAAAGAGTGAAACTATATATTGACTTTCGAAAGAGTTTTTAAAAGCATTAAAAATATATATTTGATATCTATTTGTGTGTACGTAAGAGATTTGATGAAACTTCCTTTTGTATATCTCAAAATACTTTCTAGAATCTACATTGAAAGGATCAATTAAAATAAATTCCATTTTCAACAAATATGCTTCAAGTAAATTATCATGGCACATTTAATGTTAGAGATTATTTAAATATCCTCTATTATTTTTGAAAAAGATTATAGAATTTTTAATTAGTTTTGTTATATGCATTTGAATAATGTTTTAAAATTATAAGTTTATAATTATAATTTATCAAAAAAATAGAATTAAAAATTCACATTTAAAATCATTAATTATATAAAATATATTAGTAATATTTAAATCAAGTTATTTATTTATAAATTATAAGAATTTATGATGATTATTTAGTTTTATTATTATTATCAATAGTCAATAGTTCCAAAAATGTTAAAAATAAGGAAAATAAAGATGAATAAAAAATGCATTATTATCTACTATCACTATTTGATAAAAGAACAACTAGAATATGAATGTGTTTAGAAGTGAAAGGCATAAGTGGTAACCTTTAAGAAAGAAGACTATACAAAATCACAATGTATATATATATCTAAGAAATCAAATAATTAGAAAGTAAAGATTATAATTCTAAAGATTATTGGCACTTATACAAAGATAAAAATTAAGGATCATATAAAGTGTATTAGAAATAAAATAAAATAAAAAATATTTATACTTTTTAAAAAATAGATTATTAATTTAAAAGATATCTTCTTTTTCTTTTTATAATTATTTTTATTTACATATTTGTAATTTCTAATATAAACAGTTGATAACTATTATGATTAAAAAAAAATGATGAAGAAGACAAATGTGTGGTATAAAAAAGCAAGTTGAAATTAACTTCTATACAATATCTTACTTTTAATATTAATAAATTGTTCAGTGAATGTGCTGCCATTGATAAATAACAAAATAATGAAAAAAGTTCCCATAATTCTTTGTTTTCATCTCCATCTGTAGGAATAAATTTAAATCATGAATTAGCAAATATAAACCAAGATATTGACACCTTTGCAAAAAAGATGTTCTCTATTAACATTCCCAAGTTTGCTCAAATTTATTTTTATTATTGTAGGGTCAATTTCTTCACTAATTAATTAGAAGGTCAAAATTTAAAGTTTTGAATATATGAAGGCTTTTGCAATTAGAGGTTTGTTCATGCAACTTGGTTCCAAATAATTAATACTTACATTATTTTATTATCTTACATATATATATATATATATATATATATTTAGAAACATCACACTAATTGGTCTAATACTTAATTAATAATTTGATATTAAAATTGAATTACACACTAACAAATTAATTTAGTCCACTTCTAATTTGGATAAATTATACAATTATTAAGTTTTTCTAAAAATTTCTTTCCACTTGGTAGCAACATAAAAAAAAACAAGACCTACCATAAACTAATAAGGTCTCAATGTTTTTTATTTATATATATATATATATATATATATATTATTTTAAATATTTTATGATTTAATTGATTTAGTTTATTTTAATATAATTTTTTTCTTTAAAATAATTAATTAGAATTAAATACTAGCACCTTTAGTGCTACACCTTTAGTATAGTACTAAATTTGAATAGGATTGAAATTTGAAGAAATACTACACCTTTAGTGTAGCACTAAATTTGAAGAAATACCTAATAAAAACATAGACTTCTATTAGGTATTTCTTCAAATTTCAATCCTATTTGGATAATTTTTTAATCTTTTAATTTTTTTTGTGACCAAATATACATTTGGTTGATTAGATTTTTACAACCTTTTACTTCTTGTAATGGGTGTATTTCTTAGATATTAAACTCTTGTTACTTCTTTCTTTCAATTGATCCTATCTAATTTGATTTTTAATTTCTTTTTCAACTTTGACTTCTATGACATACTCATCTCTCTTCTTTATTAACCATCACTTGAAAAATTTAGCCTTAACATCTTCTCTTGACATTCAATTGAAAATTTGATAATCCATGTATGTATTTTAAACCAAATAAATAAATTTATAGTTGTTAATATATTATAAAAAAAAGTATGCAAAGGAATTTTAGAAAGAAAGTTAGAATATAACAAATAATAGCCTTTCTTAAGTAGAAAGAATCATTTAAATAGTATTAAAATACAAAGTTGAATTTTGAATAATATGTGCATGGTTCCATATATATATATATATATATATATATATAATTTAAATATTTTTACTACTATGTTAATATATATATATATATATATATATAATTTAAATATTTTTACTACTATGTTAAAATATATATATATATATATATATATATATATATATATAACACTAATTTTTGTCAAATTTTCCAACAACCAACCACAAAATGGACCCAAATTGTGAGTACATCCATGAGATATTTCTATCTATATATCTTACTATTAGAAATTTAAATTTGACCATAAACAAATGACTAAAGCAAGTTAATTAACTAGAATGAGATAAGAATAGACATTTTTTAGAATATTTGCTCCATTTAGGGTAAAGAAATGAATTTGTATATGTTATAAAAGATAAAAATTTAATTTTTATTTTAAATAGAAATGATATGTTTAAAAACCATGAATGACTTGATTAAGATTACCAATTATGCAAATAATCATGAATATATTAAAAACTGCTCAGTTTTTTCCATGGATAGATCTAGTGTTGATAGCTCACATCTTTGTATTTTACAAAACTTTTATAATGTAGAAATTAGCTTTCTATTTGTTGACTTTTTTTCCACCAATGACAAATAAAACTATGATCTTTATTCAATAGCATCTCTTCACAGTAGATGGGATACTTCATCATTAATTCATGTGGCTCACTTCTACCCCTATAAGTATTCTGTTGAGAAATGCAAGCGTTATTGGCATTAGTCGGAGTGTGCACAAAACATTATTGAATATTGCGCAAAAATTCATATTCAAAATGATATTACACTTGAAACCAGTACTTATTGTGGGTGCTGTGCCTCTTCTTCGTCTGCTTGAAGGTTTAGAGCTAATACCTCAGTAAGCACCCTCTTTATAGTATTTATTCATTATTACTCCCACGACCTGGCTTTTCAAGTGATTGGAATGAATGGCTTATTCTAAAGCCAAAGTTTTCTCATAACTTCCAAATAAAATTCAGAATTTTTTGGAAACCCCAATCGTTGAAGGTCTGTACCAAAGATTAATTACCTGTTTCGAGCAATCCATTACCTCCACTCCAACCCGAGAGCTAGTGTCAATCGATTGCAATAAAATGACCCACGTTGTCTCGTACCCATGCAAAGCACATACCATTCACTGGGTTGCTGAAATACACATTCTTCCGACCTATTTGATGTCGTGCACCAACATTTCTGCCATGTATTGGCTATATCTTTTCAGAACTGCAACAAAAGGCACTCTTTCTCTTACCATAGCAGAGAACTTGTCCTCCAATGCACCCTGCAAATATGCGTCATGCCGGGGGTGTGTTCTACGAAACGTAGACAACAGTAGAACAACTACCTGTGCAAAATAGAGCCATTAAAAGACCCAATATTAAAGGGTAGGCTTCATCGACTGTGTTCATAGTGCATTGCAACCTGATAGACCCTTATATATTTTCTATTGGCACTCAAGTGGACATGACATGGCCAACCTCCCAACTCTACTATTATGAGATAGACCTAATCTACATGCATCGGGGAAAAAAGGTGCCACCAACATAACCGCCAGCCATTGACCTTCGCACGTTCTGCTCAAACTGACGGGGATTGTCCCTCAAGACTTCTGCAGCCGCGTGGTTGAGAGGGTCATCTGGGTTGGGATCCTGGAAAAACAAGAATTCATCAGCAACCTGCATGCTATCCATATTCTCAAGAATTTATGCTAATAGCACTATGAAGTGCTGGAGCCTACAGATGCGCTAGCAATCCGCAGTAGCTTAATTCGCGTGGTGGTATTCTCATGAAAATGAATTTTCGAACACGAGTTTTTACAGCACAGTTAAAGCTGCAGTGCAAACCATAAATCTCACATCGAACCCAAATAAAACTCAAAAGGTCATACTTGCTTCCATCGCGGTATAAACAAATATCACTAATCAAAGTGCTGCTTTAGTCCTCAAAGTACTCAACTCCTTGCAGAACTGCTTGAAGTACAATCATTTATTATATCTACAAAAGATGATGCAAATATTCTTGACACTCTTTAGCATTGTATCCAACTCGTATTTCAAACTAAGCACTCTTAATTTCTTATTTCGAAAAAGAGGCGTTTAGTTTTTGATAGATTTTCGTAAAATCGTAAGTTATTTCAACAAAAATGCAAAGAAACTTTGAACTTTTTAGCCATATGGATGTTATGAGTGGCAAACCTCTTGTTAAGAATGAATGATAAAAAATTGCTCTTACCAAGAAAAGATACTGAAGGCCATAAATGATGGAATTGATGCTGAGAACAGGCTTCCAATCCTCACGAAGAATGTTCAAACACACGTTACCTTCCAGATCTATGTTAGGATGGTAGACCTGCACCAGTATTACTACCGTAGATTAGCAAAAATCTTTTTCATGACCAAAGGAGTTTTAATGTGAGATGCACTCTTCTATGCGTTAATACAGGACAGAAGGTATATGCATTTTTTTGATCTGAAAAAGCATGAGTGATTTACACAAGAGAGACATATAGTCCTTCATCTCTTGAATACCTCACTTACCTTAGTCTTGCATTTCACTTTAGGTGCTTCATGAGGGTACACCTGTGAGATAGAGAAACTGAAGACGAATGTACCACCTCTGGAAAATATACCAATACCCAATAAGACCATGGCAACTTAATAAATATCTGTTGAATCCAAATCAAATTTTCAGACACCAAACTCAAGAAACTCCAGAGACATAAATCAGTGACGCATTTCAGAATCGATTTTCCTGTAACATCGCCTGGGGCGGTTGGACTCTAAGGAGAACAACTAATAAACAAACGATTAGCACCAAATACTTCGTAGAAGCACAAGAAAGCTGTCCATTGACTCACTGGTAAAAGCCTTCATCTGGTCGGATGGTAATCTCAAAACTGAGTAGATTATCCTTGCCGTCTGGGAAGTGTATAGCGGTAGTCTTGGCCAAGTTCAATTCACTGATGTCTGCAACACCAAATTACTCTTGTTAAAACCTGGTGGGAACAAAGTTGAATGACCATGGTTTCTAGACTTTGAGACAACAACAAAGGCATGGCAAATCGCACCCAATTAATCCTAAACGTTACAATGGAGGTGGAGTGGAAGCAGAAAAATGCGAGAACCAGAACCTTTCTGCACTCGTAATTCACCAGCGCTTTGCTTCTTGACGGGGCGGCCATTGTTATTTCGAGCATCTTCTTTTTGCTTCTGCTTAACACTAAATAGCTTGATCATCGTGAGCCCGCGTGCTTCCTCGCTCCTTCTGCAAGATTAAACAATTCTTACGCGTGCAGAACTAACACTGCAGTAAAAAATTACCAGGACTGGCAAGCCGAGGACAATCTAAATCCAAATGTTACGAATTCAGCTTCTAAATCTCGAAAAAACAGTGACGCGCAGGCTCCTGTATGCACAGCCTATCCTCCAAAACCATCTCCGAATCATACAAAACACTATATTTCTTAGAGAAAACTTTCGATCCAGAACTACAGCCTTTACAAAAGCTAACTGAATCAATACACATCTTCAAGAAGAACTCACTCAGTTGCCTCAATACTTCACGATACCTCAAAGAAAAACACAAATACTAATTCCTCTTAAACTGACGAAAAAATCTCAAACTCTGTCCCACGTCGCGTGCAACTGCTTCTACTGCTACTCCACAGCCACAATCATGCACTTCACAGAAAACCCTTCAACCCGGTTACATGCAGGAACTCAAATTTGATAAGGAACACATAAACTACTATCAATTCGTACTAAACCGCACCGCCGACACATTACCGACCATCTCGAACAAAACGCGTCCTTCCGCGGAATTTTCCTCCCAATTGCAATCTCTGCCGAGGTGTGGGCAGACTCTTTTGACGGATGCAGCTTTCGAGTACAGTGACAACATACCTGAGACAGACAGCGTGTTCCAGAAAGGACGATGGAAGCGGAGCTCGAGGCTATGGTTGGAGCATGAGATGCGCTTGCACACACGGAACAAGACGGTGGAGTGTTTCTAGGGGGTTTAGAACAGGAAAACGATGACCCCAGTTCTCCGCCAGCGCGGGGGAATGGGCGGGCCGGGCGTTGGGACCCGAAACTCGCCGGCTGGTGAACATTCTTTAATGCATGAGGGCGGCACGCCACCAGTAACAATAGATCCTCGAGCGGAATATCCATGGCGATTTGAACCTGGGATACTGTGGTTCTTCAGGAAACCTCACGAGTCCATTTGCTGTCGTAAATATTTCGCAATCGACTGTGGATAAGTCAGTGCTGTTCGTATATCTACTATGCGTAGTGGGCAACAGACAGATGGCCACTCAGAGTCAGCATCAATGACGAGACACAACGTGCAGAGTGTCGGAATTTATACCATATGTTGGCTACTTCTCTAATCTTTCCCACAACTAGGTTTTTTCTCTTTTACTGAGGTGCAATTCTCTATGATGAGAAAATTCTTGTTCGATTCTTCTACGATGACTACAGAAGATGAGGGAATTCAGAGGGGCACAACTTGCTCCAGAAGTGTACCAACTGGCTTGATAGAATGCCTGTAGTTTCTACCCACAGATGCCTAGGGATCCCTTCTCATGCTTTTACCCAGCTTTATAACTGAGAACAGGATTCTATGTGGAGATAGTCTTTACAGAGAATCAATGTGGTCCTGCAAAAGCAGAACTTAACAGTGATAACTTGAACTGGATGGCTTCTCAATTGCGGTTAACATAAGAGAGGCTTTCATCATGTATCACTGTCAGGAACTAATCGAAGCTACTTCAAAAGATGAGCGGTCACATTCAAGTCTCTGCGACGGCAGGTTGGCAAAAATTCTCATGTCTCGACGTATGTATGTGGCGCGTTCCCGTGGGACCGAGCTCTTGTGCTTTGAAGGACAATAAGAAATCCCTTACGGTTGCTAATCTGTGGCATCGTGAAAGATGGGGAGCAAACCCAGGTTGTCAACCCACACTCTGCCACATTTTCATGAGATGTTAGTAATGATGATATAGAAGCAAGGTCTAGGTCGAGGCGTGGTTTTCCAAGATTTACACCGTCACATTCACATGCTTCCAACAGTGCTGGCTCAAACGCTGATATACCTTAAGATTTACAACGACTAGAACAATTATTTACTTGCTCCAACCATCATGTGAAGTCTTATATATAAAAAGCCTTGGAGCTTCCTCCAAATTCCTACTTGCCGCGCAGTAAGAGCTATGGAGTTAGCCATGAATTTGACCGTAACATTGAGGGTGGAAAAACACAGGCCAACTTAATGTGAGAGCTGCTCAAATCACAACGCGATCGCCTGGTGGGATATTTGTGCATTAGAGATTACAATAATTGAGCTGCTAACACCACGTAACTTAAGAAGTGCTTATGCTTAGTATATATAAGCATACCTCGGGTACAGTCATTATTTCCAATTCATGAGCCCGCTAAAAATGTTCCTGAAGACTGTCAAGAAAAGAAGAAGACAAATTAAGAACGTAAAGAAGCTACAGTGCATTAAATACAACCACATACAAAAGATGGAGAGCAACATATGATCAGTGAGAGAGCCAATAAACTAACCAGTTGTTATGACTGTCGACTGACAGAAAGAATTCTTACAACATTGCAAGATTGGCCGATCCTCATTTGGAGGAAGCTCAGTGCTGAATCACCGTGCGACATAAAATAAATATCCCAGCTTCGCCTGTAATTCGTTAAGAATTATAAAGACAGAAGGCTATAATAGATAAGCGGAACAAAAGCATTGTCAAGTTGCGATGTGAAGGCTTCTACGAGGCCTGCACCTGTGGCTGCGATGGCTATTGATCCAATCTGACTCGCCCAAGAAAATGTTGGCGGTACATAAGAAAGAAGAGCAGATGCCACGATGAGACTTAAAATACCAGCTATGGTCCCTTCCCAAGTCTTCTTACTCCAGCGGTTAAGCTGCATGGAGCCAAAATTAAAACCTACCACAGAGGCCACAGTATCCCCGATCCCGAGGCTCAGAATCCCTGCATAGGCTGCGAGTTGTCTGTCTTTAGAAGTAGTTGTGCTCAGCCAGACGGGAACGGCACAACCTAGTAGCAAGGAAAAATGACTAATTATTAAGATGTCAGAATCCCTCGAATCTGTGAAAGACTTCAAAAATATATGTATCTTTTCACCAAGAGGAGGAATTCTCCATACCCTAATAGCTTCAACAAGTATGAAAACCCCCAGTGCAAGAGCAAAGGATATTCGCAAGAAGTCGGCCTGCAAGGCGACGGCTGGCACGAACATGACTACGGCCATGATATGGAAACCCTTCCGTATCATAATTCTTTCCATCTGCTCCTTCACGGTCATTCGATGCAACAAGAACGAGAAGAGGCCGATTACGAATACCCAGTATACACACAACCCCAATCTCTGAACTGGTTGGTCCATTAAATAAAGCAGAATCCAAAGAACAGGGTGCTGCTCTATTCCTGCCACAAGACGCAACCATGCAGGGGCAACCCAGATGACCATAACCAGGACTGTGAAGCAAAATAATGAAGTTCTTGGGAACGATTCCGAGATTGGTTCCCTCTTCGCTGAATTCCCCAGTGCATCCATCGAGAAAACATTCAACAGGCACTTATATACCACCGGTACAAGAAGCATCCCCAGCACTACTACGTGCACGATCGGAAGAACAGGGCCAAAATTTTCTACTGGTACCAATTGATGCCAAACCTTGTTGAGGAATACCTGCAACAACGGATTGAGAATACAGAGTGCTAAGCCATGCGCCACTAGCATTGTCTCTCCCGCTGACATACAGGAAGGAAAAGCTTGAAGAAAGTAGTGAAAAAGAAAAACACTTCCAGCTGCGCTTACAAAGCTCCAGATTACGCCCCAAACTCCAATAGCGAACCCTAATCGCAATAGAAGCATCACGGCCAACAAAGAGAAAACAATTGCAGCTCCTGACTTTTGAGTCCCCCAGACTCTGCTATTAAGTGCTTTCATCTCATCCTGTTTTAGACTGCATCCATTCTTCTGCTGCACAATCTGATGCTTTCTCTCTCTTCGCCGCACCATCGACCACATCAAGAGTATCAACAGCGCAGAGCTGCATGCGATCGAGCTCCAAAATTCCCAGCGACCCCGCTCCAACCCACCCACTTGACCACCCATCACCTCCCCAAATCGAGACGCCATCAATAGAGGAGGGGTCAGAGAACCAAGTAAGATTCCGGAGGCTTGCGTCGGGCGAAATCTCATTCTGCGCAGCTTTGCTCCATTCTCGCTACAAATCTCCACTGCCCAGGCACAAGCTGCCAAAACCACTAAAGCAACACCAACCTCCCCACGAATCGCAACCGCAACCCTAATCACAACCAACATCACCACGACTGCCTCCTGCCATAGCGGCAACGCAAAAACCCTGTACCCCATCCCTCAACAACCAATCCCAATCCAAACCCAACTCCTGCAAACGCCAAGCCACATCAGATTTCTCCTCCACTGCTATCTGCGACCGCGAATTCCCATCTCCGACACCAATGCAGCGATTGCTGCTATTCCAACTACACTCAACATAGCTAGCCACGGCACCGAATGCGCATGCGAGATACTCCCTCTCAACCGTCGTAGTTGAACCCCTCCAATTCTCTGAGAATTTGTGGCAAGCAACTCTGCGGCGTTCGACGCGGCGTCAGGTTTGACTCCTGCAATCCACATCGTTTACAATGCCCGTCTTCAAGTAACGAACTATCGATGTGATCGGCGAAAAGAAAAGCACCCAGCGAACTATTCTTTTTCTCATTGGTTACTGTAGCATCGGTGAAAGGTAATCAACGAACGGCGAGCAGTTGGAGAATCCGCATCGATCGGAATTCGGGCGTGGTGGCCTTGAGCTCTAGTGCCTGCCCTACTGCAGCGGAGCATGGTATGCCGGAAGTCCATCGTGGCGGCCATTATGCCACGTAATCCGAGTCCTCGCTGACTCAGCAATATGGTTCCCCATAATGGAGCTTCACAGCACGCATTACGAGACGTAATGGTCCTTCCTGTTGATTCGTTGAAGACTGTCGACATTCGACTGCTCTGTTGATCGCAGGGTTCATGATCAAAAAAGATGAAGAAGCAAGGATTGCCAATTGGAACCCATGTGTTCTTTCGAGTAAAGTGAAGATAGAAATTTCTTCCTTACAAAAACGTGTACTTTTCAAGAATTAGGAATTTTTATTTTTATTTTCATTTTGAGAATATTTTTTATTACAAATAGATTTCATCCAATTCATGCATACCCAACTTGATATAGCCACATACCAAACTCAACTACAACTAGCTTAGTAGACTAATTTTATATTAACTAGCCTAGTTACTACACAACATCAACTAATTATATATTGACCAAAATGATCCTTTATTTAATGCCTCCAATCAAATTTGCAACTAAATTCAACATCTTTCCTACCTCACACATAAAAGTTGCCATTAATAATAGAAAAACATATCAATTAGAGACAATTGATTTGAAAAAAGAGACTATAGTAGCAAAATATGGATTAAAAAATAACATATTTCTATTGCGATTTCACAATCTATTCCATGTTTAATACAAATTATTAGCTTTTTTACATCCTTATTATTCCTTGAATCTTTTGTAAGCTAAAAAAATAACCTATATGTTTTTATAATTATACTTATTTAAATAGAAAACAATTATACAAGAAAAAAAATTGACCTTTTGTCATGGACATACATATTTACTCTGAAAATTATCTAGATAATAAGAATAGGTAGAAGTAAGTCAAAGTAGATAAATATGATAATATCTTGTAGAAAGCTTCTTAAAAGCTTTATAGATGTTGCTTTGCCTTTATACATGTCTATAGGTGATTGGTAGGTTGAAAACTTGGCCAACAAGGAGGCCATGTGTCGACATGTTGACCAATTGGACATGTGGTATACACCTAAGAAACTTGCTTTATAAATTAGACATGTGTCTTGCAAATTGGAAGTGTATTAGAGGTCCTATAGCATGTCGCTACATACTACTTAGTTAAGTAGTATATATAGAGGCAAGATTGAGGCCCTCTTCACTCTTCTCAATTCCTTTCTTGCTTTTAGTCTAGTTTCAAGAGTCTTATATTTTTTAGTCTTTGGCAATAGCCATTCCAATTCTTCTTTGAATGTACATACTTTCTTCTATTTTATCACTTTTTTTTTTTATACAAATTCCACAAGTTTATGTATCTTCTTTCAGTTTGTATCCTTGATAGATTGACAAGAATATACATATTTTATCACAGCTTTGTCCTTTCTTGATTAAGAGTGGATTATCCCTTTTTCTTGAAAAAACATAAGCATATTAGAAGTTGTGAATTACTTTCTTTTAAATTGTTATTGTTTCTAGAATTTTTTTTTTCTTGATTCTTGAATATTGTATTTTGTGAGAATAGACATCTTTTTTTTTATTGTACTAGCATGGCAGAGCTTGTTGAAATAAAGAGTGCAATGGCTCAAATTGTCAAGGACAAAGACTCGATGAGGAAAAATATACACCAAAAGGCTATCTCGATATAATAACTCAAAATATAAACAAGTAGGTATATTAAAAGGAAACTGGAATGGCTATTGCCGCAAGACAAGAAACTAAAGACTCTTGAACCTGGACTAGAAGCAAGAAAAGAGTTGACAAGAGTGAAGAAGCCTTCACTCTTGTCTCTATATATACTATCTAACTAGGGGCTACGTGGCGACGTTCTATAGGACCTCCAATATGTGTTGACTTTGTAAGACACATGCCTTGACTTACAAGGCAAGTTTTTCTACGTGTGGGCCACATAGTTAGCTTGATCTTCAAGCTAACAACATGTGTGGCACATGGCCAACTTGTTGACCACGTTTCTAATCCAAAAAGTCAATTAAAGACACCTATGAAGTCAAAGCAGCGTCTAAGAAGTTTCTAGGAAGCTTCTATATTAAATATTATACAATTAACTTACTTTTATCTACTTTTACTTACTTCTACCTATTTCTATATGTAATTATTAGCTTACATGATTATGGCTGTGACATTACCCCCCCTTCTAGAGACGAGTTCCACGAGGAGCGGTCATCATATGTTGAGGAAATCTATGATGCGACGAATTATATTCGCCACATACTCTGATCTCTGTTCTCTTCGAAGATGATTGATAGGGCCTCTCAACCATCGGTAGTGTCCCATACCAGGGCGGGAAGACCACCCAATTATTTGATCATTATTGAGGCCTTCATAACTTCCTTCGAATAGAATATTCGGAACACCATCAGGAGTTGTTCCTACCTCTAGCAAAATCACCAAACATCGGGAGTCCCTTCCCAAATCGTGATACCAAACGCGTTGTATCTCACCATCTGTTTGAGGAAGAACATGTCGTTCTTGAAGATCTTCATCTCGATTGCGTCGTCTTGAAGGTTGTGACAATCGTAATGTCTGGTCCGGTAGGTCAGCAAACGAAGGTTCTTGAGTTGAATCTGCTGGTTGTTGGCTCTCCATCTAATTAGCGTCACAAATGTAAAGAAGTTACAAACAAGGATAGGAAATTGAATGTTATCTTGTCTCAATCTTGTCTCTTTTATAAGAGAGATTTTCATCTTGGTTTTGATGGATGTCGTTGATGAAAAACTTTGACTTTAGCTGATGCATTTGCTAGATTCCTGGATGGCTCCCATGTGCGTTCACTAATATCATATCCGCACCAATGAACAAGATATTCCAACTTATTTCGGCGCCGCCTTGAGTCTAATATCTCTTCTACCTCAAATTCTTCATTATTATCTACTTCTATAAGAGGTGGTGGCATTTGTCTTCTTCCTTGTATATCCACTGTCTTATATGGTTCAAGAAGAGATACGTGGAATACAGGATGGATCTTCATTGACTTCGGTAGATGTAACCGATATGCAACTGGGTTGATCTGTTCAGAAACAGAAAAGGGGCCAAGCCTACGATAGTCCAACTTGTCACAAGGTCGAGTAGTCTTGATATTGCGACGAAGTAGCCATACCTTATCACCCACGTTGATTTGTGGTTGCTCCTTACGATATAGATCTGCGTTTATCTTTTGTCGTTCTTGAGCTTCCTTCAATTGTGTCTTCATTATTGCATGTAACTCTGACAACCGATTTGCCATATCTTCTGCTGTAGGATTATCAACTTTTGAAGAATCAAAAGTATCAAGTCGTGGATGATAGCCATAATTGGCAAAGAAAGGTGTTTGTTGCGTGGAAGAATATACCGTATTATTATAAGCAAACTCTACCAATGGCAGAAGGGTTGTCCAATCATCTTGTTGGTAGTTGATAGTACACCTTAAATATTGCTCCAAGACTTGGTTTACGCGCTCTGTTTGTCCATCAGTTTGAGGATGGAAAGCCGAAGATAGCTTTATGTCCACTTTTAAAATCTTGAAAAGGGTCCTCCAAAATCTTGACACAAATTGAGTTCCCCTATCCGATATGATATCTTTAGGTAATCCATGATAGCGATAGATATTATCAATGAAAAGCTTAGCTGTTTCTTCACCTGTGATAGATTTTGTACATGGCACAAAATGTGCCATCTTGGTGAAACGATCTACTATCACAAATATAGAATCATAAGATCTTGAGCTTGGAAGATCTGTGATGAAATCCATAGAAACAGAAGACCATGGTTGTTCTGGTATAGGTAATGGCTGAAGAAGTCTGTAAGGTCGATGACGAGGAATTTTTGATCTTGAACAAATATCACATGATTGTACAAAGTCTTTGACTGACTTCCACATTTGTGGCCACCAAAAATCTCTTGATATGAGTTCCAAAGTCTTATTATATCCAAAGTGCCCTGCTGCTGGAAAGTCATGACGTGCTTGAAGAACACGTAAACGTGCTTCTCCTTCTGGAATATATAGGCGTCCTTCAAAATATAATAGATTATTCTTGAACTCGAACTTAGAAGGATCATGAGACTTGGAAGAATTATTCTCGATATCATAAACAAGAGGGTCTGAGGACATACTGGACTGGATTTGCTTGAGAAAAGTTGAATCAACAGTCAATGTTGATTTCATTGCTCGGAGATGAAATTGCTCCGGTTTCAAGAGGACCGTTCTTTGTTGCTCAAAAGCTGCATCTCTTTCTTTTGGTGCAAAATAAGGACGTCTAGATAGGGCATCGGATAAACCTTGTTGTTTTCCTGGTCGATAAGTGATAATGAACTCGAATCTTGACAAAGACATACTCCAACGAGCTTGACGACGATTCAACATGCGTGCTGACATGAAATACTCGAGGTTCTTGTGATCTGTATACACAGTGACTGGATTAGAAGCGCCTTCTAGATAATGACGCCATTCTTGAAAGGAATCCACGATCGCAAGAAGTTCTTTATCGTGGATCTCATAATTGATCTCGGCTGCTGAGAATTTTCTTGAATGAAAAGCTATCGGATGGAGTTTGTCATCTGTTCCCATTTGTGATAAAACTGCACCCAAGGCAAAATCTGAAGCATCTGTTTCCATAAAAAATGCCTTGGAAAAGTCAACACGATATAAGACTGGTGCAGAGACAAACGATGTCTTCAAGGCTTCAAATGCTGCTTCCGCTTCTTGATTCCATTGAAATTTATCTTTACTAGTCAAGCGTGTAAGTGGAGCTGCAACTCGTGAGAAATCTTTGATGAAGATCCGATAGTAATTGGCAAATCCCAAGAAACATTGGACATCTCTTACCGTCCTTGGAATCTTCCAATCCACGATTGTTTGGACTTTCTTAGAATCCATCATGAGACCATCATTTGAAATGATGTATCCTAAAAAGTCAACTTGAGTAGTGTGAAATACACA